ACTCTATTGATGTCACTGGGGATGTCAGCAACAGTTAGTCAGTTCCCCCCCAGTTTCAGAATGCTCGCCGCAGTCCCACTATAAATCACTAATTGCCGCCATTACTAGTATTAAAAAAAAATCCACTATATTTACCGAAATTTTTTAGAAACTATAACTTTCACGTAAACCAATTATTATACAATTATTGGGATTATTTTTTTTAGCAAAGACATGTTTCAGAATACATTTTGGCCTAAATTTATGGAGAAATTTGATTTTTGACATTTTTTTATTGGATATGCTTTATAGCAAAAAGTCATATGACATAAGACAATAGATGATATATATAAATTTATTTTTTTTCCAAAATTGTCGGTCTTTTTTTTAGCGCAAAAAGAAATAAAAAAAAACACAGAGATAATCAAATACCACTGAAAGCTCTATTTGTGGGAAAAAAATGACATAAATGTGATATAATTTATGTACAGTGTTGCATAATGCGCAATTGTCAGTTACAGTAATGCAGCGTTGTATCACAAAAAATGGCCTGGTCAGGAGGGGGGGGGGGGTAAATCCTCTGGAGGGCAAGGGGTTAATATATACGGATGGTGCGGCTCACAGCCTTTTTGTCCAGAACTCCAATCAAAAATAAAATAAAACCTATTTAAAAAGCAGCTTGTTGTATAATATTTAAAGAGAAGCTTCAGTCCCCTCAGCCTCCTTCAGCACCGCCAAGGCCGTGGAAAAAGGGGGTTCCGCCAGTCCTTCTGTACGGGGCCCAGGCCATCAGGGAGAATTGGATATGGGCAGGGAGGGTGATCGGCACATTGTGGGGGACAATTACTGGAACTGATCCCCTGTATGGCTCTCTCTCTGCAGCAGCTGAAAGCCGGCTTCTTCTCCTCTTCCTCCCGCTGGCTTCAGCTGCTGCAGAGAGCCATGCAGGGGATCGGTTCTAGTAATTGCCCCCCTGCTGCCCAGGCCTCCTTCCCCCACAGTGCTGCCGGCTTCCCTCCTCTCCTCCTTTGAGCAGCTGCAAGCCCACAATAAGATCTTTCAGAATGGAGAGCGGGGAAAGGGTCTGGTAAATACATCACATTTACCAGCCCCTTCCTTTCATGAATGAACACAATGAGTGATCGGTATCGATCACTAACTGTGTACATTCATAACTGAACCATAGTAAACTGTGTTTTTTTTTTTTTTTTTGGAAGGGGGGGGGGGGCTGCCAGGTTGGCTGTATGGGGCCCTGTGGTGTCTAACAGCAGCCCTGAGCACCACCAATATGGCACATGCACAAATGTGCAAAGTGCTCTGCTTGCTGAAGCCCTTAGACACATCTGTGTGTGTGCAAGCTATTTCCGGCGCAAGTGCAAAGAGGGCCAAGGTTTGGGACATCTACAATAGCTGTTGAGGAAACTTGTGCATGTGTAGTTGTGCCGCAGGGCTCACCCAGGACCCAAAGTCCTGTGGCACATCTGTGGGGGGGGTGAGGGGGGGACATCGTCATTCTCACCTAGGTAAGATATACAAAGTATGAAAAAAAAATGTAACCCAATCGTGAATGAGGGGAGGGGGGAGGAGGCAGGGCAATATGACATGCAGACAGGGCCGTGACAAGGGGTGGACAGGAGGGGCAGTTGCCCTGGGTGCTGTGGTATCATGTGAGGTGGGGGGAGCACCACGAGGAGATTGGGGGGAGAGGAATTGTTTTGGGGGGGGAATTTGGATGGTGGCAGGGGGGGTAAGAATTGTTAGGAGGGGAAATTTGGGGAGGCTTCTAGGACTGGTGATTGGGGGGATTTGTGTTGGGAGCAGGGGTGGACTGACCATTTGGGCACTCTGGCACTGCCCGAGGGCCCAGGGTCAGTAGGGGGCCCCATGAGATGCCCCTAGTACCTACCTTTCATAGGCTTTTTTGGGTGTGGTTTGAGTGGGTGTGAGGACACAGGGGCCCATGATCCCCTACTGCCCGGGGACCCCATGAGTTAGCAGTCCGCCCCTGGTTGGGAGGGGGGAATGAGGGGAAGAGGATTTGTGCTAATAGGGGAATTTTTTTTTTTTTGGGGGGGGGTGGATTTGTGCTAAGATGGGTTGATTGGGGGGAGGGGAATTTATCCTGGGAGGGGAGGGGGGTTTGGCTGTAAATCGGAAGTCAGTCCCTGAACGGAGTTGTCCCACAACACACAGTGGTCAGAGATCACGTTCAGCGTCCCATTTATCTTCTTCAGTTTGCTCAGCAGGGCTCCTCCATTAAATGGCAATCAATATTTATTGTGGGAGCACTCCGTACACTGAGAAAGATTACGGGACGGCTGTAGAACAAACACTGGAACAAAAAACACTTCGATATCCACCTCCAAGGCAAACAGAGCTTTATGTAAGAGCAGTTCCCATGAATGAGGAACGGCAGCTGCTAGATGAACCGTGTCCACAGGTACAGCCAGGGCTTATGACCGCTAAATGCCAGCATTGCCCAACAACAGGCTAAGTAATATGTAGCGTGTACTTTGTGCAAAGTACATGTTCAGTTCTGCTGCTTCCTTCTTATTTCACATCAACTCCACTAGGCATAGTGAAATGTATATATACAGTATTTACACTATATTGCCAAAAGTGTTGGTCGGCCGCCCTTTCCACACACATGAACTTTAATGGCCTCCCAGTCTTAGTCCGTAGGGTTCAATATTGAGTTGGCCCCGCCCTTTGCAGCTATAACAGCTTCAACTCTTCTGGGAAGGCCGTCCACAAGGTTTAGGAGGGTGTCTATGGGAAGGTTGGACCATTCTTCCAGAAGCATATTTGTGAGGTCAGGCACTGATGTTGGGGGAGGAGGCCTGTCTCACAGTCTCCGCTCTAATTCATCCCAAAGGTGTTCTATGGGGTTGAGGTCAGGACTCTGTGCAGGACAGTCAAGTTCCTCCACCCCAAACTGGCTCCTCCATGTCTTTATGGACCTTGCTTTGTGCGCTGGTGGGCAGTCATGTTGGAACAGGAAGGGGCCATCGGATAAAGAGAAAACAGGTGGCGCACACACCTAGTGCATTATCCAAGATTTATTGTAAGGACTACAAAATAAAAACATACTTACAGACGAAGCATGTATCTAAAAAGCATAGATGGTCACAACGGCAGGTAAGGTGTCCTCACTGTCAGTGCGGTCAAATGGCTGACGCGTTTCGGGGATGAATCCCTTTCCTCAGAGCTGATGACCAGCCTCTGATGCAGATGTGTAATGAATGGAAAGTGGGAGCCTTGCTGGTGATGCCTGAAGGAAGGGGCCATCCCCAAACTCTTCCCACAAAGTTGGGAGCATGAAATTGTCCAAAATGTCTTGGTATGCTGACGCCTTAAGAGTTCCCTTCACTGGAACTAGGGGGCCAAGCCCAACCCCTGAAAAAAAAAACCCCACACCATAATCCCCCCTCCATCAAACTTTACACTTGGCACAATGCAATCAGGCAAGTACCGTTCTCTTGGCCAAACCCAGACATGTCCATCAGGTTGCCAGACAGAGAAGCGTGATTGGTCACTCCAGAGAACACGTCTCCGCTGCTCTAGAGTCCAGTGGTGTCGTGCTTTACACCACGGCATCCGACGTTGTGCTAATCTGAAGGCCACACCAAGTTTGGAGGTCTTTAGCTATTGACTCTGCAGACAGTTGGTGACTTCTGCGCACTGTGCGCTTCAGCATGCGCTGACCCCGCTCTGTCATGTGACGTGGCCTACCACTTGGTGGCTGAGTTGCTGTTATTCCCAGTTGCTTCCACTTTGTTATAATCCCACTAACAGTTGACCGTGGAATATTTAGTAGCCAGGAAACAGATGGATTTACACAGTGGCAACTTATGACGGGACCACGCTTGGAGTCACTGAGCTCCTGAGAGCGACCCATTCTTTCACCAATGTTTGTAGAAGCAGTCTGCATGCCTAGGGGCTTGATTGTATACACCTGTGACCATGGAGGGGATTGGAACAGTATATACTGAATATACCTGGTGGTATCAAAAAGTTTTGAGATTGGTTTTTAACACACCAACAGATGGCAGCACAAGGTTGCATGCACAGTCACAGGGAGCATGGACCTTCATAAGTCAGTGTGCACAAAGACATTGTCCTGTGTACATCAGGAGCTGTACAAAGAGCATTGCTATTCTGTCTCTCAGTGTTACCATTCAATTTTTAGACTGATCATTGCTTTGTAAGTGGGCAAACGTGCAAAATCAGCAGGGGATCAAATACTTATTCCCTTCACTGTGTGTGTATATATATATATATATATATATATATATATATATATATATATATATATATATATATATATATATACACACACACACACACACACACAAAGTATATATATTTTAGAGAGAGAGAGAGAGAGAGAGAGCTACCCCCATAGGAGCCACTGGATAAGAGGGGTCCTCTGTTCTTTGCATCAACTTTCACAAGGGCACCAAACCCCCCTCTGACACTCCAGGTTGAGTGTACAGGCAAGTAAACATAGTGAGACAGAAACCAAACCAGTCAGGAAAGGCAATCTCAAAGTATTATTACCCAGTAGAGTTGATAACCAAATACAAATAGGTGGGCAATTTTTGTAACACAATTCACCCTAAAGGATTACTAACTGTGACGGATAGATGTAAACGGCATGGGCCACCCAGTCCGGCATAAACAGTAGCAATATCATCCAAAAGCAGCAGTGAGGCTTGACTTGCCAATACAGGAGCTATACTGCCAGTGTGCACTAATGATGGCAGTGCTAGGCCTAAACTGACTAGGTAAGCACCATTAAGTTTGAACAATATAAAAACAGAATAAAGGCATATAAGGAAACCTGCAAGGTGAATAGTAGGGACAGTCCTTAAAGATAATCTTCTGCCGGCTTACATTGGGGCCCTTTAAATAAAGAAGACAAGTGTATATATATTTTGTATATAATGAAACACTTGTAATAACAGATAGGATACAACAACTTTTACCTTTTTAACATATTTATGTTCTATTTTTATAGGTGCTGGGGAAGAAAACCGAAGCTTCCTGGAGGAGACGATAGCGATGATGTAGATGCAGACGTGTCAAACAGAAAGATGGCAAAACTCTATATGGTAAGAATGTTGTGAATGTTCAGGTCAGTACAAATCACTCAGATATGAATGCTGACCACAAGTAGACATGACCACCAATGGGATGCACTATGAACAGAAAATGCAGCTTGTAATGCACATTGTGAGAAGCTTGCATAATACATTTTTAGTACACATTGGGGGGGGGGCAGTTACTAAAACTGGAGAGTACAAAATCTGGGCCACCCTGCATTAAAACCAAGTTTTATTGCCAAAAGATTAACTGAACAAGCTAAAGTTAGAAGTTGATTGGTTACTATGTTAACATATACTGTATAATATATATAAAATACATTTATATACTGTATATATTTAAAGTAATCAATAGCAAAAAAAATCAGATTTTTACACGTAGGAGAGAAATGTCAAAACTGGCCCGGTAGGCAAGTGGTTAAAGTAATTTATAGCAAAAAAATTTTTTTTTTTGGCAAAAAAATTTAAAAAATTACCCCGACTGAGGATTGTTTAAGTCTGTTACTGCTTTAAGAGGGCTCTGAAAGAACATCATGTAACGGGATTGCGGTTTGCACAGGACTGCTTAAATTATTTATAAAAGCAGGAATGGTTTTAAGGCTGGAAAAAAATCCGATCACAACTTAACATAACTAAACAAATCCACGTGTTGGCGGGGGAGCTCTGTATTTATTTCATCACACGTGTCTCCAGCGTGCCCAAAGCACAACCCAGAACAAGCCACAGGGCCTCCTCGTCTGCCGTGACTCACATATGTTATTACTTTACAAAGCAGAAAACATGCGGCAAAACCGCTGAGACAATACAGGAACCTTCTTCTTTTCTCCCTAGAAGATGGAGTGTATTTATAAAAAATTTGCAGAGCTATTCATCCTGTGACACTGTATGTGCATTCCTTCTGTGCCAATGGGGGCAAGACAAAAGTCTATTGGGCAATATTCTCTCCAGTTTGAATGTTTTTCATTCATATAGCCTACCGTATTTTCCGGCGTATACGACGACCCCCTACTTTTCCTGCTAAAATGTAGTGTTTGGGCTATACTCGTTGTATAAGACTACCCCTCTAGCAATGCACACCAGTGGGAGGAATAGTGCCCCATCATTGGTATTAGTGGGAGGAATAGTGTCCCATCATTGGTATTAGTGGGAGGAATAGTGTCCCATCATTGGTATTAGTGGGAGGAATAGTGTCCCATCATTGGTATCAGTGGGAGGAATAGTGTCCCATCATTGGTATCAGTGGGAGGAATAGTGTCCCATCATTGGTGTCAGTGGGAGGAATAGTGTCCCATCATTGGTATCAGTGGGAGGAATAGTGCCCCATCATTGGTATCAGTGGGAGGAATAGTGCCCCATCATTGGTATTAGTGGGAGGAATAGTGCCCCATCATTGGTGTCAGTGGGAGGAATAGTGCCCCATCATTGGTATTAGTGGGAGGAATAGTGCCCCATCATTGGTATCAGTGGGAGGAATAGTGCCCCATCATTGGTATTAGTGGGAGGAATAGTGTCCCATCATTGGTGTCAGTGGGAGGAATAGTGCCCCATCATTGGTATCAGTGGGAGGAATAGTGCCCCATCATTGGTATCAGTGAGAGGAATAGTGCCCCATCATTGGTATCAGTGAGAGGAATAGTGCCCCATCATTGGTATCAGTGAGAGGAATAATGTCCCATCATTGGTATCAGTGGGAGGAATAGTGCCCCATCATTGGTATCAGTGGGAGGAATAGTGCCCCATCATTGGTATTAGTGGGATGAATAGTGTCCCATCATTGGTGTCAGTGGGAGGAATAGTGCCCCATCATTGGTGTCAGTGGGAGGAATAGTGCCCCATCATTGGTGTCAGTGGGAGGAATAGTGCCCCATCATTGGTATCAGTGAGAGGAATAGTGCCCCATCATTGTTATCAGTGAGAGGAATAGTGTCCCATCATTGGTATCAGTGGGAGGAATAGTGCCCCATCATTGGTATTAGTGGGATGAATAGTGTCCCATCATTGGTGTCAGTGGGAGGAATAGTGCCCCATCATTGGTGTCAGTGGGAGGAATAGTGCCCCATCATTGGTGTCAGTGGGAGGAATAGTGCCCCATCATTGGTATCAGTGAGAGGAATAGTGTCCCATCATTGTTATCAGTGGGAGGAATAGTGCCCCATCATTGGTGTCAGTGGGAGGAATAGTGCCCCATCTTTAGTATCAGTGGGGGGGAATAGTGCCCCATCTTTAGTATCAGTGGGGGGAATAGTGCCCCATCATTGGTGTCAGTGGGAGGAATAGTGTCCCAACATTGGTGTCAGTGGGAGGAATAGTGTCCCATCATTGGTGTCAGTGGGGGTGGAATAGTGCCCCATCATTGGTGTCAGTGGGGGGGGAGGAATAGTGCCCTATCGTTTGGTGTCAGTGGGGGGGAGGAATAGTGCCCCATCATTGGTGTCAGTGGGAGGAATAGTGCTCCATCATTGGTGTCAGTGGGAGGAATAGTGCCCCATCATTGGCATCAGTGGGAGGAATAGTGCCCCATCATTGGTGTCAGTGGGAGGAATAGTGCTCCATCATTGGTGTCAGTGGGAGGAATAGTGCTCCATCATTGGTGTCAGTGGGAGGAATAGTGCTCCATCATTGGTGTCAGTGGGAGGAATAGTGCTCCATCATTGGTATCAGTGACACTAATGATGGGGCACTATTCCTCCCACTGACACCAATTACACTTGCGGACCTCTGTTCTAGTATGGTGCTGCTGCAGCCAGCATATGTGGTTGCAGCAGCACCTCTACACGGCACACTTACCGGCCGCTCCTTCACTCGCTTTTCGTGGGGGCCGCTCGGCTCCGCCCCCTCGTCAGTGATTGGCCACCTGTGTGCCTTTCCTGAGCTACAGTTCTGGCGGCCAATCCAGTGGCCGAACTGAAGGAGCAGCCGCGCTTCTTGGACCGGATCGTCGTGGGACCGGAGCCAGGTAAGAAACAGCAGCCCCTGCCCACCCCTGTACGTAGTGTCTCTTCCATTGGAAGGGGGGGGGGGGGCGGTGGCGGCACCGCACCGCCCCCCTAAAAAGTGTCAGTATGCCGTATACCGGCGTTTAAGACGACCCCCGACTTTTGAGAAGATTTTCAAGGGGTAAAAAGTCGTCTTATACGCCAGAAAATACGGTAGTTATTATTATTATACAGGATTTATATTACTATTATTATACAGGTTTTGTATTATTATTATTATACAGGATTTATATATTTATTATTATTATACAGGATTTATATAGCGCCAACAGTTTGCTCAGCGCTTTACAATATAACAGGAGACAATACAGCAACAATACAGTTCAATTCAAGAGGAATAGGAGGGCCTGATCCTGGGAGCTTACAATCTAGGAGTTAATCAGGATGATACAACTCTCTCAGTCAACAATAAGTCCTCTTTCACACGGGCGTTCTGTCTGTCCGTTTTTCTCATCTGTCCATCGACGGATCAAAAATGGACCTCCATGTATTTCTGTGGACTAGCGGATGTAAACGGATGATAGTCTGTTACATCCGTTAATGTCCGTATCCGTTAACATCCGTTTTTTTGAACATAAGAAAACCCTATTTTTTTTCTGTAAACAAACTCGAAACGGACAAAAAACAGATATAAACAGATGAAAAATTCTCCATTGAACTCTATTGTAGCACAAACGCTGCTTTTTGCATGCCGGTTCACTCTATAGAAACGCAGTCCAGATGCATTCCAGATGCGATTTTGCACGATGCGTTCCAGTGCGTTTTTTATGCATTCCAGTTCATTTTTTCCCTATCTCTTTTTCTTCAATCTAAGGGCTTGTCCACAGTAGATGCAGTTCAGTGGGCTTTTTTTTTGCATCAGAAATGCACGCACAGTGTTTTCCATGTATTCCAGTGGCCCTAGTTCGCACCAGTGCAGTCAATTCCAGTTTCTGGTGCAGAAAAAATGTGAAACATGCTGCATTTTTTCTGCACAGAACCTTACTGGAACCTGGCAAACTGCACTGGACTGCGTGTGTGTGGTGTGAATTGTAAGCAAAAACGTATCAAGAATGCATCTAGAGTGCATTTTTGTAGTGTGAACCGGCCCTAAATAGGGACATGTGCGTTCCAGTGCGTTTTTGATGCATTTTACCACGTTTCAGTACAGTTCTGTGCATAAAAAAAATGCAGCCTGTTCTACTTTTTTTCTGCAAAGCTCCAAGGTACACTGCTGCTCCTAAGCTTGAGTTTTGGTTTGCCAAAGCTCCTAAAAATGAACTCCATAAATGTAGGGTTTTAGCAGAGTTTACGGCTGATGTACACGAGGCGTTTGAAAAACGTTTCTGACCACTGGAAACTGAGTGCTAGAAAACGTCCATGCAGCCCCAGATGAGTCCATGCCGCCTCTGCTGTGTCCATGCAGCCCCAAACGAGTCCATGCAGCCCCTGACGAGTCCATGCAGTCCCTGCTGTGTGTCCATGCAGCCCGTGACAAGTCCATGCAGCCCCCTTTGTGTCCATGCAGCCCCTGACGAGTCCATGCAGCCCCTGACGAGTCCATGCAGCCCCCCTTTGTGTCCATGTAGCCCCTGACGAGTCCATGCAGCCCCCTTTGTGTGCATGCAGCCCCAGATGAGTCCATGCGCCCTTTGTGTCCATGCAGCCCCTGACGAGTCCATGCAGCCCCTGACGAAGTCCATGCAGCCCCCTTTGTGTCCATGCAGCCCCTGACGAGTCCATGCAGCCCCTGACGAGTCCATGCAGCCCCCTTTGACGAGTCCATGCAGCCCCTGACGAGTCCATGCAGTCCCCCTTTTGTGTGCATGCAGCCCCTGACGAGTCCATGCAGCCCCCTTTGTGTGCATGCAGCCCCTGATGAGTCCATGCAACCCCCTTTGTGTGCATGCAGCCCCTGACGAGTCCATGCAGCCCCTGACGAGTCCATGCAGCCCCTGACGAGTCCATGCAGCCCCCTTTGTGTCCATGTAGCCTCTGCTTGTGTGCATGCAGCCCCTGATGAGTCCACGCAATCTCTGCATGCACTTCAATAGGCTGACTGCATACAGCTCCAGGATGGATGCAGACACAGAAAACATTGACTCAGCACACAGGACGGGTGTCAGCGCCCATCTAAATGAGCCCAAATGGTGACCAACTGACTGGCGATGTGTTTGGAACTTAATCCTGTTTTTCTAATGTGAATATTTGTTTGTACTCTGAACTATAGGAAATCTTTTGCATGTTTCTACATGTGAATGCAAATTCTGAATTCTCGAATGTATTCAGGTCTCCTGATTCTGTAGTCCAAGTCTGGAACACACACAGACCCTCCTGCAATGGCTGCAGTGCTTGCAGAATTCTACCTATATAGATAATGCCCCCCTGTCCAATAATAAATAATCAATCACGGAGTGCAGTCTGACACCTACCCATCAATACATCTTCATACTTGCAGAACTCCTCCCTAGAGGAGCATGCATCAGGGCTGAAAGCTCTTGAGCATCAAGACAGGAAGTGAGGGGAAAGGATTCCAATAGATCAATAGATCAATGATCTATATAGATCAATATATTATACATGAGAGAGAGAGAGAGAGAGAGAGAGAGAGAGAGAGAGAGAGAGAATGTATAAAATATATTGATCTATAAATCTAAAATAAATGTTTATATATGTATATAATAATAATATATATATATACATATATATATATATATATATATATATATATATATATATATATATATATAAAATTATATATATAAACATTTTTTTTTGCACAGTAGGCTTGGAACCTCTGTTAGGTTTCAGCAGTGGGGAAGATTTTCCCTCATATCAGTCCCAATATATCATATTAGAGCTTTGTTTAAAAAAAACACTACAGTAGCAGATTTGGAACAATGACCCATTGTGGAGATTTCACTTCTTGCCCCATAGCCAGACAGGAAGTGAAAGGAAATTTCTGCAAATTAGGGGCTCCCAAGTCCACAGAACTAGTGTCCCCATTGGAAGATTTCTGCAAATTAGGGGCTCCCAGGTCCTCATAACTAGTGTCCCCATTGGAAGATTTCTGCAAATTAGGGGCTCTCAAGTCCTCAGAACTAGTGTCCCCATTGGAAGATTTCCCCTCCATTTCTTTCTGGAGGCAACCCAAACTTTGGAATTTTCTTTCACTTTCAATGATAATGGTAACTAGGACAAATAGAGGGACACAGACAGCAATACAAACTGGCAGACATTCCAATCTCTCTGCACATCCAAAGCTTTTGCCTTTAGTTATGCTCTAGTATCTTGCTTGCCCTTCCACCTCACCCCGGGGTGTTTCAGCACGAATTCAAGTTTTGTGTCTTTTTAGGGTTTCGGATGCCAGTGGCTCCATGAAAGTGTCCGTGGTGGCAGAGGAAAATCCGTTCTCCAAAGGCATGCTGCTCTCTGAAGAATGCTTCATCTTGGATCACTCCGCCGACAAAAAGATCTTTGTATGGAAAGGTCAGGTTTCCTGTTTAATTAATTTCCAGCATCATATGTGACAATCAAATCATCAAGTTTTTCCATTCTTTTGTTATACGGAGTTTCCGAGCGCTGGCCACCAACACTGATCTAGGGGCAGAACAATGTTCTACAAGACAATTCAAACTATTGTGATGTCCCCAAGAATATAATTATTTCCCAAAATGATTTTTAGGCTATTCAGTGATGCTTGCCAAAGCCTAAATTAGCTTTTATTTAAAGCAGTGGTCTCCAAACTGCAGCCCATATAGCTGGATGTGGCCCCTTTCTTGCCTTTAACTGGCCCTTGGGGCACTATTCCCCCAAATGACACCAATAATGAGGCACCATTTTTTCCACTGAAACCAACAGTGGGGTATAATTCCTCCCACCGACAACAACAATGGGGCACTATTTCTCTTACTGACACCAGTGATGGGGCACTATTCCTCCCACTAACACCAACAATGGGGCATTATTCCCCCCATGACACCAACGATGGGGCACTATTTCTCTTACTGACACACCAGTGATGGGGCACTATTCTTCCCACTGATACCAACAATGGGGAACTATTCCCCTCACTGACGCCAAACGATGGGGCACTATTCCTCTTCCTGACGCCAGTGATAGGGCACTATTCCTCCCACTGACACCAACAATGGGGCATTATTCCCCCCACTGACACCAACGTTGGGGCACTATTTCTCTTACTGACACCAGTGATGGGGCACTATTCCTCCCACTGACACCAACAATAGGGCATTATTCCCCCCATGACACCATTGATGGGGCACTATTTCTCTTACTGACACCAGTGATGGGGCACTATACCAACAATGGGGAACTATTCCCCTCACTGACGCCAACGATGGGGCACTATTCCTCTTCCTGACACCAGTGATGAGGCACTATTCCTCCCACTGACACCAACAATGGGGCACTATTCCTCCTCCTAATGACCACAGGTGCTGTGTAATTTTTTTATTTCCACTGACCACAGTCTGCCTCCTCTAAAGTCTGGAGGGCAGTAAACGGGCCCTATGTATAGAAGGTTTGGACGAGACCCCTGATCTAAAGGGTTATTTAAAAAAAAAAAAAAATATATATATATATATATATATATATTATATATATATATATATATATATATATATATTCACTTTATCCGCTCTCCCCGGACCCTGCATTCACTATATCTGGTCTCCCAGGACCCTGCATTCACTATATCTGGTCTTCCAGGACCCTGCATTCACTATATCTGGTCTTCCAGGACCCTGCATTCACTATATTTGGTCTTCCAGGACCCTGCATTCACTATATCTGATCTTCCAGGACCTTGCATTCACTATATCTGGTCTCCCCGGACCCTGCATTCACTATATCTGGTCTCTCCGGACCCTGCATTCACTATATCTGGTCTCCCCAGACCCTGCATTCACTATATCTGGTCTTCCAGGACACTGCATTCACTATATCTGGTCTTCCAGGACACTGCATTCACTATATCTGGTCACCTCGGACCTCGGACCCTGCATTCACTATATCTGGTATCCTCAGGCCCTGCATTCACTATATCTGGTCTCCCCGGACCCTGCATTCACTATATCTGGTCTCCCCGGACCCTGCATTCACTATATCTGGTCTCCCCGGACCCTGCATTCACTATATCAGGTCTCCCTGGACCCTGCATTCGCTATATCCGGTCTCCCCTTGGACCCTGCAGTCATTATAGCTGGTCTCCCCGGACCCTGCATTCACTATATCTGGTCTCCCCGGACCCTGCATTCACTATATCTGGTCTCCCTGGACCCTGCATTCACTATATCTGGTCTCCCCGGACCCTGCATTCACTATATCAGGTCTCCCTGGACCCTGCATTCACTATATCCAGTCTCCCAGGACCCTGCATTCACTATATCTGGTCTCCCTGGACCCTGCATTCACTATATATCACCGGTCTCCCTGGACCCTGCATTCACTATATCCGCTCTCCCTGAATAGTAAAAAACTCAATTTTTTAATGTAGCTGTACATTTCTTGCAATTACCATAACTTACCACCAAAAAAACAACCCAAAATAAATTCTCCTGCCCCTGACGATTGCGATATGTGTATGTTATGTGTTCTTTGTACAGGGCCTAGAAATAATAGTGCACATTTTTTATCCCACCTAAAACACACTGACACTAACTGACACTGATACTAATTTTAAAAATGTAGTTTTTTTAACCCCTTGGTGCCAGCGCCTCCCAGCCCTGTAAAAGTGGTTTGTGATATCAGGAGGCGGGGCGGGTTTAGGGTCATGTGACCGCCGAGATTGGCTGTCACACAATTGGAAAGCTCCCGAATGCAAGTAGCGAGCGGGACCTTTCCGTGAGGTGCTAGTAAATGTGACGAGGGAGTGTGTGCCGGGCGTGCGCACTCGGCACATCCTTTGTTTACAAATATGCGACGCCAAGGCCTAGCTGCCGAGAGGGCCACATATTTGCTTGCGGTTGGTGCCAACAGGTTAAAATATGCTGACCATGACCTTTGACCCTGGTATTGACCTTTGACCCTAACACTAACCTTGACACTGATCTAGATCAACCTTGATCTAGGTGGTTTTTCTTAATTGTATTTATTTATTTTAACACATTTTTAGTTTGTTTATATATTTCTCTCCTGCAAGGAGAGAAAGATACAATGTATCTTTTTCTCTATTCAGAAGAGATAATAAAAAACACAGGGGCGGGTTGCACAGTGACTGATCAGTGAGATAGCCAATCAGAGCCTATCTCAGTGATCAGGTGACTGGGAACCAGGAGAGAACCAGTCTCTGTGCTGGGAGAGCACTGTGCAGCGCGCTCCCAGCACAAACGCAGGAACCAGGGGCGGACTGACAACTCATGGGGCCCCCGGGCAATAGGGGATCATGGGGCCCCTGTTTCCTTGCCCAAACTCAAAAAAGCCTATGAAAAAGGTACCAGGGGCATCTCATGGGGCCCCCTACTGACCCCGGGCCCTCGGGTAGTGCCCGAGTTTCCAAATGGTCAGTCCACCCCTGGCAGGAACGCATATATGCGGCACCCAGGTTCAAAGCTCACCTCCTAGATTCCGTATATATGTGTTAGGCTCCATGCACACGGGACGTTTTGATAACGCTGGTAACGTTAGCTTTATAAAGTCACGTAAAAGACGTGAGTTTTTTAGGCATTATTTAGTGTTTTTTCATTAGCGTTTAGTGGTGTTTTGCCACATTTAGTGGCGTTTTCCCACGTTTTTTAGTGTTTTTATTTTTTCCAAAAAAGGATTTTTATTGGTCAAAAAAAAAAATGTACAAAAACGTCGGTTTGTGGCATTTTGCCGTGTTTTTCAGCATTAGAGTGTTCTTACAGCTACACAACTACTCTAGAAACCCAATCGTCCTGGGTTCTTTTTCCAGCCAAAAAACATCCCTGCCAAAAAACACTGATTCCAGTCTATGTGTGGATGGACACATAGGATAACATGCTGGGGGGGTTTACTGACTGTAGAAAAAAACATCAAAAGCCAAAAAACAGCCGCTGTAAAAACGTCCCGTGTGCATGAGGACTTACTGTGTCCTTGTGGGGTTAATAATAGGGGGTGTATGTTATATAGAATAAGATGTTGTCTACAGGAAGATCAACTTTATAGGCTAAGGTGCCAATGATGATAAGAATTGTGTTTATTTGTTGCAGGTAAAAATGCGAATGCGAGTGAGAGGAAAGCCGCCATGAAAACAGCAGAAGACTTTATCCAGCAAATGAATTACCCTAAAAACACACAGGTACCGGGTCATGGATAAAGGGGTGTAACACGGAGCTGTAATGGGTTGATATCGTGAGCAGCACAGTATCTGCAGTTAGGATACAGAGTAGGCCAGAATAATCATCAATGCAAAACTCCAACCTTGGACCTCATTGGCATACCTAAATTCTGGATAAACCCTCTGCACACTGCTATATAACTTTTTTTTAGCAAACTTTGCAATAAAAAAAATAGGTATTTTTAGGTCACAAATATTGCAACACGTTTAAGCTGGCCAAATGCATCCAAGGAATCCTCCCTGGCCAGTCCTACTCCGCCCTGCCAACGCAAATGCCACCGTGGACACATTGCCATCATGTGGCGAACAGACACAAAGTAGGGTAGAGCTATTAGGTTTACGTCTGTCCACTGACCTGCCATACAACAGAAAAACAATATATATATATATATATATATATATATATATATATATATATATATATATATACCTGTGCTGTAGGGGGGATGTCCAAGGGTCCAGCGATTTTCTTTGCCAGTTCTACGGTTCCCAAGCGCTGGCATGTTGTGACTTCTCACAGCTTCACAGCCGGCTTCCCACTGTGCATGTGCAAGCCGTGCAGTACTTTTTAACCACTCCCCGCTGCCCTGTAGCAGAACTACTGCTACAGGGCGGCAGGGCTGCGCAAAATCACGTATACATACATGATTTTGCATTTCTGGGTAGGGGGCACGTGTCTTACCCACACTGCTATTGGCGGCTTCAGCTGTCGATCGCTGGGTCCCGGCCAGAGATTCCCTGCTGGCACTCAGCGATCGCCGAGGAACACTAACAGGGGAGAGGTCTGTATATAAACAATACAGATCTCTCCCCTGTCAGCTGCACATTGCTTTATAGCCATATCAAGCAGTGTGCTTACATAGTAAAACATGCACACAGCATTTAATGTGAAACAGCACACAGTTAACCCTTTGATCGCCCTAGATGTTAACCCCTTCCTGCCCAGTGCCATTAGTACAGTATCAGTGCTTTTTATTAGCACTGATCACTGTATTGGTGTTACTGGGGATGTCAGTGGCAGTTAGTCAGTTCCCCCCAGTGTCAGAATGCCCGCCGCAGTCCTGCAGTCTCGCTATAAGACACTAATTGCCGCCATTACTAGTTTAAAAAAAAATAAAAGTATATATACCGCCATTTGTAGAGACTATAACTTTCACATAAACCAAGTAATTTACACATATTGGGATTTTTTTTTCAGCAAAGACAAGTAGAAGAATACATGTTGCCCTAAATTTATGACAAAATTTGATTTTTTAAAAAAATTTTTACTGGACATGTTTAATAGCAAAAAGTATTTTTTTGTTTATAGCACAAAAAATTAAAAAAACCGCAGAGGCGATCAAATACTACTGAAAGAAATCTCCATTTGTGGGGAAAAAAAAAGGACAAAAATTTAATTTGGGTGCAGCGTTGCATGACCGCGCAATTGTCAGCTAAAGTAACGCAGCTCCGTATCGCAAAAAATAGCCTGGCCAGGAAGGGAGGTAAATCCTCTGGAGGGCAAGGGGGGGTTAAATAGACCCACAGCCTCCTGGCACCTGTGATGTATCCCAGAAGGTTGCTGGGGAATGGGGGATGCTCTGATCTCCTAGGTGGTTGGTTCAGAAGTGGAGGCGGGTACCTGCTAAAACCAGGTATCTGCCCCCCCCCCCCAAAAAAAAAGTGGGAGAGGAGGGAGAAAGTAGGTGTTTCAGCAGAACTTCACTTTTAAGTTCTGCTTTAGTTTTGGGGCCTGAAATAACGCCGTAGAGAATTCCCGCGACCTCTGCATCCTCAAGAATACCCAATACACAACATTTGGGTTCAAGTGCAATATTAGACTGGGACGTGCTGTTGGGAGGGTCCACCATGCACCCCCTTCTAATCAAGGTATAGTACGGGGGGCACCACCAGAGTAGTATATTTAAATCAAAGTTCTTGTGCATGAAATGAACCACTGCTTTGCCCAAAAAGCAAAAAAATCACTTTAAGGGCAACCCCACCAGCTGCAAATACTATTTTTTTGGCCTCTGGAAGTGAGAAGAAAAAACACTGTATAAGGACCAAGTATTGCCTTTTGAAAAGACTTGGATGATTAGAGTACCCATGGCAGGAGGAAGGGAACATCAGAGAAAGGAAGATGGAAAGGTGACCAGGGAATAAAAAAATAAAAAGTTTTGGCGTTCACCTGGAGTCAGCAGGATTTTCTCTACATGATCTGTCAATTCCTATGTAATCTATCAAAATAGTTTATTTATTTTTTAATAAAATATAATAGGAAATAAAAATACAAGTAATTGCAAATTATTGTAAATTGTCACTTTACATCTCTCTTTTTTAAATAAAATAAATTAAAATAAAAGCAGCAAATAGATCTTCCCAGTTGTCAGAATATCAGCTTGTGTACAATGCCACCTAGTGGTCACCAAACCTAACAGCTCGTACCGACTTATGCGAACCGAAGCCAAAATGAGTGGAAGCGAAGCTGCAAGGCTTGCAGGACAGCCTCAGTCAGGGGTCCATTGTTCTCTGGAATTGTCCTTTAAGTGTTACGTATTTTGTATTGTTTGGATAATGGCACTTTTTTTAAAATATCTTTTTTATGTTTTTTATTCTATGTTGCCCTCACATATGCTTACATTTTAAATCCCTGGAATCCACAAAAATGTCCCCATGTTTTGTTCCTTTAAACACACTGCATGTACGGAAAATTATCTGATGTGCCAGAAATATTGTCAGCTTCTACCTTCCTCTTTGACGTGACAACACAGCTCTGAATTCCTCAGCATGTGGTGTCAGCCCTGCCTACTACATTTCTGATGGATGAAGAAGAACACAGGCCTCTCCTATTCTCCACCCCCTTCCTCATCTCTATAACCCCTCTTCATTCGCCCTCTCCAGAACTCCTCATAAACTCCTCCCCCACCTCCTTTTCATTTCCACACCTCCTGATCCCCCATCTCCATAATCCCCCCTTATCTCCTCCCTATCTCCATAATCCCCCCCCCCCCACACACACACACACACAGTCTCCTCATTTCTCATCTCTATACCCCTTCATATATCTCCCATCCCTTCCTCCCCACCCCCCTACTCCTCATCTGTAACCCATCCATGCCACCTACCCCTTCCTCCTCATCCCCCTACTCCTCATCTCTATACCCCTCCATACAGCCTCCCCCTTCCTCCCCACCCCCCTGCTCCTCATCTCTATACCCATCCATACTACCTACCCCTTCCTCCTCATCCCCCTACTCATCATCATCTCTAAACCCCTCCATATCTCCTACCCCTTCCTCCTCACCCCCTACTCCTCATCTCTATACCCCTCCATACCACCTACCCCTTCCTCCTCATCCCCCTCCTCATCATTGGTATACCCCTCCATATACCACCCACCCATTCTTCCTCATCTCCCTACTCCTCATCTCTATTCCACTCGATACCACCTACCCCTACCTCCTCACCCCCTACTCCTCATCTCTCTACCCCATCATACCACCTACCCCTTCCTCCTTATCCCCTACTCCTCATCTCTATACCCCTCCATACCACCTACCCTTTCCTCCTCCTCCCCCTACTCATCATCGGTATACCCCTCCATACCACCTACCCTTTCCTCCTCATCCCCCTACTCATCATCGGTATACCCCTCCATACCACCTACCCTTTTCTCCTCATCCCCTTACTCATCATCGGTATATACCCCTCCATACCACCTACCCTTTCCTCCTCCTCCCCCTACTCATCATCGGTATATACCCCTCTATACCACCTACCCTTTGCTCCTCATCCCCCTACTCATCATCGGTATACCCCTCCATACCACCTACCCATTCTTCCTCATCTCCCTACTCCTCATCTCTATTCCACTCGATACCACCTACCCCTTCCTCCTATCCCCCCCCTACTCCTCATCTCTCTACCCCTCCATACCACCTACCCCTTCCTCCTTATCCCCTACTCCTCATCTCTATACCCCTCCATACCACCTACCCCTTTCTCCTTATCCCCTACTCATTATCGGTATACCCCTCCATACCACCTACCCTTTCCTCCTCCTCCCCCTACTCATCATCGGTATACCCCTCCATACCACCTACCCCTTCCTCCTCATCCCCCTAATCCTCATCTCTATACCCCTCCACACCACCTACCCTTTCCTCCTCATCCCCCTACTCATCATCGGTATACCCCTCCATACCACCTACCCTTTCCTCCTCATCCCCCTACTCATCATCGGTATACCCCTCCATACCACCTACCCTTTCCTCCTCATCCCCCTACTCATCATCGGTATACCCCTCCATACCACCTACCCTTTCCTCCTCATCCCCCTACTCATCATCGGTATACCCCTCCATACCACCTACCCTTTCCTCCTCATCCCCCTACTCATCATCGGTATACCCCTCCATACCGCCTACCCCTTCTTCCTCATCTCTATACCCCTCCATACCACCTAGCCCTTCCTCCTCACCCCTCCTACTCCTCATCTCTTTACCCCTCCATATCTCCTACCCCTTCCTCCTCATCCACCTACTCCTCATCTCTATACCCCACTATACCGCCTACCCCTTCCTCCTCTCCCCCCCTACTCCTCATCTGTATACCCCTCCATACCACTTACCCCTTCTTCCTCATCTCCCTACTCCTCATCTCTATACCCTTCCATCTTTCCTACCCCTTCCTCCTCATCCCTCTACTCATCATCTCTATACCTCTCCATACCGTCTACCCCTTCCTCCACACCTCCATAGCTCCTCCTGATGTCCTCTCCCTCATCTCCATAACCCCTCCTCATTCCTCTTCTTCTCATCATTATACCCCTCTATATCATCTACCCCTTTTTCCACATCCCCCTACTCCTCATCTCTATACCCCTCTATATCATCTACCCCTTTTTCCACATCTCCATAGCTTGTACTGATCTCCCATCTCTCATATCCATAACCCCTCCTCATTTCCTCTTCATCTCCATAACCCCTCTTCATCCCTCTACTCCTCATCTCTATAACTCCTCCATACTGCCTACCCCTTCTCCATAACTCCTCCTTGTGCACAGGAAGCTTTCTGCTTCAAGATTTCTGGCAGGATCAACAGGTATTTTTTTTTTGCCCTTATTGAGCAACTATAACAAAGCACTTCCAGTGGTATATGGTACGGTACAACTGCAGATCAAAAGGGAGTAAATAAGAAAAGTTTACTGTTGGGCTTTCTATACATTTTAAGCTTTCCCAATTGCACAATATTTTCCAGATTCAAGTTATTCCAGAGGGAGGGGAAACGCCAATCTTCAAGCAGTTCTTCAAAGACTGGAGAGACAAGGATGAAAGTCAAGGATTCGGAAAGGTTTACGTCACCGAGCGCATTGCTCATATTCAGCAAGTGGATTTCGATGCATCTAAGCTGCATGAATCTCCTGAAATGGCGGCTCAGCACAACATGGTGGATGACGGATCAGGAAAGGTCGAGGTAAAAGCATTTCAGTTTGCTTTAATGAAAAAAAACCCTATAAAATATTTTACTGCATATTTCATTGCAGTAAAATATATAGTTTTTTAACTTGTCAGGATATTGCAGACTTCTCAGGGCTGGCTGTGTGTGTTGCTATTCAGTTGTATTCTCTCCCTGGTCATACTTGTAGTTGTATTGTATTCAGTTGTTTTCTCTCCCTGATCATATTTGTAGTTGTATTGTTGTTCTAGTTCTATTGTATTCAGTTGTTTTCTCTCCCTCGTCATATTTGTAGTTGTATTGTATTCGGTTGTATTCTCTCCCTGGTCATACTTGTAGTTGTATTGTATTCAGTTGTTTTCTCTCCCTGGTCATATTGTGTTGTTGTATTGTATTCAGTTGTATTTCTATTCCCTGGTCATACTTGTAGTTGTATTGTATTCAGTTGTATTCTCTCCCAGGTCATATTTGTAGCTGTATTGTTTGTTCTAGTTGTATTGTATTCAGTTGTTTTCTCTCCCTTGTCATATTTGTAGTTGTATTGTATTTAGTTGTATTCTCTCCCTCGTCATATTTGTAGTTATATTGCTGTTCTAGTTGGATTGTATTCAGTTGTTTTCTCTCCCTGGTCATATTTGTAGTTGTATTGTATTCAGTTGTATTCTCTCCCTGGTCATATTTGTAGTTGTATTGTATTCAGTTTTATTCTCTCCCTGGTCATACTTGTAGTTGTATTGTATTCAGTTGTATGCTCTCCCTCGTCATATTTGTAGTTGTATTGTATTCAGTTTCTATTCTCTCCCTTCATACTTGTAGTTGTATTCTTGTTCTAGTTGTATTGTATTCAGTTGTTTTCTCTCCCTGGTCAAATTTGCAGTTGTATTGTATTCAGTTGTTTTCTATCCCTGGTCATATTTGTAGTTGTATTGTATTCAGTTGTATTCTCTCCCTGGTCATAGTTGTAATTGTATTGTATTCAGTTGTATTCTCTCCCTGGTCATATTTGTAGTTGTATTGTTGTTCTAGTTGTATTGTATTCAGTTCTTGTATTCTCTCCCTGGTCATATTTTCTAGTTCTATTTTTGTTCTAGTTGTATTGTATTCAGTTGTTTTCTCTCCCTCATCATATTTGTAGTTGTATTGTATTCAGTTGTTTCTCTCCCTGGTCATATTTTGTAGTTGTATTGTTGTTCTAGTTGTATTTTATTCAGTTTGTATTCTCTCCCTGGCCAAAGTAGAACTGTCATCGCCATGCTGTAAAGCCCCCAATGGAGGCTGACGTGTGTCTTTCCTGAGCATAGGATTGATACCTGATGCACCTTTTGGGCTGCTAAAAGGGGTTAAACTGACAAAACTGTGTGGAATCCTTAAAGCACTATTGTTTATGACAAGGGTGCTCATCCTGTGGCCCTTGGAGCCTTTTGATGTGGCCCTCGACCTCAAACCAGGGAAGCTCACTTCTCTTTTATCCTGCGAGTTTGGTGCACTTTAAAAAAGTGCACTACACTCGCAAGATATAGTAGACGTTTATGGCAAAGCGAAGCTAAAGCCGCTAGTGCACTGTGCTGAACCAGCAGTGCAGGTAAACTGCAGGGCATCTAAGGGGCTCAGGACAGTAAGAGCTCATTTACATTTGCGGTGTGGGGGTGGTGAAACCCCATAGTTGAGATGTGTTTTTCACCACACTCCCCCAACCACTGGTTCAGCGTCAGGGGTCACAAGAGTGATCCTTCCCTGTGCTCCAGGGGGCCCATGCAGCCTCCCTGCCACATTCTGTTTTACACTTGGACAGGCGGGGCTATGGGGGGGCGGCATATACAGGAACCGATCCTCTCCAATTTCCTCCTGCAACCACAGAAAGTCGGCTTCTCCTCCTCTCCCTCCTGCCAGCATTCAGCAGCTGCAGGAGGAAGTTGTTCATTATGCTATTCGAATTAAAAAATTCAAAATTCTGAACCATTTCATTTCATTGAGGCCTGTGACCAGATACCAAATCACTTAAGGGGCCCTCACTCTTCAAAAGGTTGAGCACCCCTGGTTTATGACTTGAGTCTAGCTCAGAGTCAGACTTCCCCTCTGACAGGGAGAGAATACAATATAATTAAATAATAAAAAGTTAAATGAATGTGTTCCCTGAGAGGTAAAGCTGCACTACTATAGCAATCAGGTGGATATTCAGATGGCTACAAATGCCCATTTGTGACTCTTAGCACTTGTTTCCATGGGTGGCCAGGGGTGCTAAAAGCAGGTGATTAAATTGTTTGTAAAGGAAATAAAAAAAAAAAAAAAAAACATGTCTAAATTTACCTGCTCTGTGCAATAGAATTGCACAGAGCGGCCCCGATCTTCCTCTTCTTTGGTCCCCTGCTGGCGCTCCTGGCTCCTCCCCTCTAGCTGGTGCTCCCAGTAGGAAGCTTTTATTTCTTGGGGGTTGTATGGACAACCTGCACTGAATAGGGCTAGCTGGAGGTGAACTCAGACCAGGGGCGGACTGACAACTGCTGGGGCCCCTGGGCAAAAGGGGATCATGGGGCCCCTGTGTCCTTGCCCAAACTCAAAAAAGCCTATGAAAAAGGTACCAGGGGCATCTCATGGGGCCCCATACTGCCCGAGTTTCCAAATGGTCAGTCCGCCCCTGACTCAGACAGTTCATGTTACAGTGCTTGGTCCCCTCTCCTAGGTGCCTAATTGCTTACACCTCATTACCTTCTTTCCCTTAAGATCTGGCGCGTGGAGAGCAATGGGCGGATCCCAGTAGACCGGGACACGTACGGACAGTTCTATGGAGGAGACTGTTACATCATTCTCTACACCTATCCAAAAGGCCAGATCATTTATACCTGGTGAGTTCCTTATACGGTACACCCAATATACACGCCGGAACGTCACTGTAGCGCAGATCCGATTATTAACAGTGAATTGATCAGATTATACACATCCTCCACAATCCCATCCTCCACAATCCCATCCTCCACAATCCATCCTCCACAATCCCATCCAATAATGCAAAGCTTACATACGGCACGGTGCTCGGATTGCTTCTTCAGGCAGGTACCCTTGAGGCTGCTATCTTGTGCCATGGCGGAACCGGTGCTGTACTGGTGGAATGGTGCAAAAGATGCACCACTCCAAATAACAGGCTGGATCACAAAGGTCCTTTCCCAACGCCAAATAGTCTCCAGACGGGGTTGGACATTTCCTAATCTTTCCCTTCCCCTAAGAAACCTTTTCCTAGGCTGAGCCTATTTTTTCCCTAACCAGCGGGTGTCTATCCCTATCTACAAACTTCCTACACCGCAGGCATGCGAAAAAAAAAAACCCTGCATGGGCTATACAGAGCCTTCCTGGGTCCAAGATAGCTGAGTTGGAGCTCATGGGCCAGTGCCTGGGTGTCACGCTTACCCCTAACGCAGGTGGTCAGGCACTATAGCTGGCTTCTGTGTTTTTCACCTATAGCAGCCCCCCTTCCAATAAGGCTAGCAGGCCTACCAGTACTCAATTGCCCCCAGGACTTATACACAATGCTATAGTGTCTGGCCACCATGCCGAGGCAGACGCGAACTGAGCACTGCAAATAGGTTCTTGCTGTTGGCAGACAGGTGGAGTACTTCAGAGAAGGTCCAGGTTCAGGGCAGGTGGAGTTCTGAGCGTAGTCGATATCCGATCTGAGCTCATACACATGGAAATCCAAACAGCAGAGCAGGACAGACAGATAGGGAGCTTGAACACATATTACATACACTATCACAAGCATGCGACTGCAGGCTTGGCTGGATTAAATCATGTTTGGTCTCCACCCAGAGACTGACCACCTCAATCACTTTGCAGGTGGACAGATAGCAGATGTATCATAGCTAAAACCAGGATTCTGGAATAAGACCAGCAGCTGTCAAAGAACAGGAGTGTTTAGATACTCTTGACAATGGGGCGGCAAGGTATGATAGGCTCTGTGTCCAATCAGACACAGGCTCCCCCAAGATGGCCACCAGGAGGCCAGAGCTGAGGAGAAGTCAAGGATCCCCAACCACTAGAAGTAAGCAGCACTCAGTTGGGGATTCCACTCGTCGATGATATGACACGTCATCTTAAACAATATGACACAAATGTGTGGTCATCTGTGTATGAAAACCATGTTGGAAATTTTAGATACCTATACAGCATATTTACACTTTATTAGGTACACCTTTTCAATTGCTTGGTAACACAAATTGCTAATCATCCAATCACATGGTGGCAACTTAGGCATCTAGACGTGGTGAAGATGACTTGCTGAATTTCAAAACGAGCATCAGAATGGGGAAGAAAGGGGATTTAAGTGTCTTTGCATGGTTGTTGGTTCCAGACAGGCTGGTCTGAGTATTTCAAAAACTGCTGATCTACTGGGATTTTCACACAAAACCATCTGTAGGGTTTACAGAGAACGGTCTGAAAAAGAGAAAATATACATTGAGCAGCAGTTGTGTGGAGGAAAATGCCTTGCTGATCTCAGAGCTCAGAGGGGAATGGGCAGACTGGTTCGAGATGATAGAAAGGCAACAGTAACTCCAATAACCACTCGTTACAAACAAGGTATGCAGAATACCATCTCTGAACGCACAACACGTCATACCTTGAAGCAGATGGGCTACAGCAGCAGAATACCACACCAGGTGCCACTCCTGTCAGCTAAGAACAAAAAAACAGAGGCTACAATTTTCACAAGCTCACCAAAATTGGACAATAGCAGACTGGAAAAATAGTTATTTGAGTTACTGTTGCCTTTCTATCATCTCAAACCAGACTGCCCATTCTCCTCTAACCCCAACAAGACATTTTCCTCCACACAACTGCCGCTCACTGGATATTTTCACTTTTTCGGACCATTCTCTGTAAACCCTACAGATGGTTGTGTGTGAAAATCCCAGTAGATCTGTAGTTTTTGAAATACTGAGACCAGCCCATCTGGCACCAAAACCATGCCACGTTCAAAGTCACTTAAATTCCCATTTCTTCCCCATTCTGATGCTCGTTTGAATTTCAGCAATTCGTCTTCACCACGTCTAGATGTCTAAATGTATTGAGTTGCTCCCATGTGATTGGCTGATTAGCAATCTGTGTTACCAACCAATTGAACAGGAGGACCTAATAAAGAGGTTGGTGAGTGTACATTACAATATTTCTTTCTTCCTATTCCCTGTGAATACAAGAGGCTGTTCCTTTGACGCCGACGTAACACAAATATGTGGCCTCACGGACCTGGGCTTTTTTTCCGTGGGGCCGCATATTTGCGTACCTGTCTTTGTGTTGGGAGCGCGCCCCTCGGCGCGCTCCCAGCACCGAGACCGCGGTGTCACTGAGAGCACCGGGTCCCGTTCTAATGATCGCTGTGATAGCCTCTGATTGGCTATCACAGTGATCAGTCACTGTGCAGCCCGGCCCCCTTGTTTTTTTTTTTTTCTCTCTCTCTATGAATGGAGAAGAGAGATACATTGTATCTCTCGAACTCCTGTCAGAGAGAAGAAAAAAAAGTTTGTAACAAAAAAAAAAAAAAAAAAAAAAGATAAATAAATAAATATTAAAAAATAAAAGAAAAAATAAAAAAAAATACCTAGATCAAGGTTTGATCTAGTTCAGTGCCAGGGTTAGTGTTTAGGTCAGGGTCAAAGGTCAGGGTCAAAGGTCAGGATTTTTAAAAAAATTGGTGTCAGTTAGTGTTAATGTCAGTGTCAGTTAGTGTCAGTGTGTTTTAGGTAAAAAAAAAAAAAGACAAAAACAAAATGCGCACTATGGTTTCTGGACTGTACTACGGGTACAAACAACAAATAACATACACATATATGGTATCGCTGCGATCGTCAAGAGCTGGAGAATTTATTTTGGGTTGCTCTTTGGTGGTAGGTTATGGTCGTAACAAGAAACACATAGCTAAATATTACTATTTTTTACCAGTTTTCCTTTGATAATAAAAAAAAAATCAGGAGATATCCATTACCATTTACCACCAAATGAAAGCCCAATTTGTCCTGAAAAAATCAAGGTATAATCCACCTGGATGTGCAAAGTAGTTGTGATGATATGTACGGTTTTGCTATCACATGTCAACGGTGCAGAATTGTGCTTAGGCCTTTAGATTTGTTTTACCCTCAGGCGTGAAGGGGTTAATAACTGTTTGTTGGCATTACCTGACCCTGTGTTTATTTTGTTCAGGCAAGGAGCTCAGGCCACTCGGGATGAATTAACCACATCGGCTTTCCTTACCGTGCAGCTGGATCGCTCTCTGGGGGGACAAGCCGTCCAGGTCGGTTTGGATCTCAGCTGTACTCAATGGCTTGCAGCGATTGTGCGGCGGGTCTGTGTGGGAGGGGGACGTGAGGTCACATACATGCACACAGCGCTTTTCACATGCAGATGCCTGCAGTCTTCCAATGTGCTCAGCAAACACTTTTTCAAAGCACAACTTCAAGCAGAAAAAAATGTATCCCCTGTAGGGAAGCTGTACCCACACTGCAAGGGTTAATAGCTTGTCATGTCTAGGCCAGTGGTCTCCAAATTGTGGCCTGGGGGCCGGATGTGGCCCTTTGCTTGCTTTTATCAGGCCCTCGGGGCACCATTTTTTTTATTTCTTTCTAAACAAACAAAAAAAAAAACAAACATTTTGAAAAAGAAAAGTTTTTTTTAGTTTCTGTTATAAATTTGGTAAATAAATTTTTTTTTTTCTTCTTTACTGACGGGCACTGATAAGGTAGCACTGATGAAGTGGCGCTGATATGCACAGATATGCTCGAAAAAGCAGGGCCCTCGAACCCCTCGTGTATTGTGTTGTTACTGTCTTGTCTCATGTTCTGTCCCCCTTGCTACTGTACAGCGCTGAGCAAACCCTTTGGCGGTATATAAATACTGTATAATAATAATAATAATAATATGCAGCCCTAATGGGCATTGATAGTTGGCACTGATAAGCACTGATAGGCACTGATGAGGTGACACTGATATGTGGCATGTGGGCAGCACAGTGGCTAACTGGTTAGCACTTCCGCCTGGCAGTACTAGGGTCGCTGGTTCAAATCCCAGCCACAGCACCACCTGCCTGGAGTTTGCATGTTCTCCCTGTGCCTGCGTGGGTTTCCTCCGGGTACTCCGGTTTCCTCCCACACTCCAAAGACATGCTGGTAGGTGCATTGGATCCTGTCTAAATTGTCCCTAGTATGTGTATGTATGAATGTGAGTTAGGGCCCTTAGATTGTACACCCCTTGAGGGTTAGGGACTGATGTGAATGTACAATATATATGTAAAGTGCTGTGTAAACTGATGGTGCTATATAAGTACCTGAAATAAATAATAATACATAATTGATGTGCATCGATATATGGCACTGATGGGTACTGATGAGGTGGCACTGATGAAGAGGCACTGATAGGTGGCATTGATGGGCACTGAGAGGCATCACTAATGGGCACTGATGGGGCTGCACTGATCATCAACCACATCAGTGCCCATTAGTGATGCCTCTCAGTGCCCATCAATGCTGCCTATCAGTGCCCATAATCTGTGATTATCAGTGTAGGTGTTCCCTGTGTGGACTGCCACTTACCCGCTCTCCTCTCCCCATGCGCTCTCAGTGTGAGGAGAGGACTGCCTATAACCAGCAAATCCTGTTTACAATGTGATCAGTTGTGATTGGACATAGCTGATCACAAAATAAAGGGCTGCTGTGATTTGCTTTTTACCTCGATCTGTGATCAGCTGTGTCTGAAGGACACAGCGATCAGAGATTCGCGCCCAATGAACGCTATAGGCTTGTGCGGGGGGCGGGGAACTTGATTCGGCTATAGCGCATTTGGCAAGAGGTTAAAGTGGTTATAAACCTCAGACATGAAATATGAACAAAGCATATCCCTCCATAGTGTGTATTGTCTCAATCCAGAGCACTAAGTGCAATTTCTGTCTGCTGCTTCATTCCTCTGCTATCAGCATGAATCACTTCTGACAAGTTTTCCTGACACCAAGAGAAAAATGGTGACAGGGGAGCTCCATCACACAGCTCTGTTCCTGTGTGCTGTGTGAAAGGGGGGGGGGTCCCTTCCCTCCAATCAGCTCTCAGAGCTCTTCTCACTGAGTATAACTTCAGCTCCGTGGCCCCTTTTTTCTAACAGTTCAGACAAGCTTTATAAATTCTTGACTTTGAATGGCTGTAGGGGAGAGAGGGCTACAGATAAACAGGTACAACCTATGTAGGAGGATTTGGTGTATCAAATTTGGCCAGTCATTTCACTGCGTATATAAAGGTTTGCAACCACTTTAAGTCTAGGTTCACACCTATGCAGGTTGCGTTTGCGGCATTTCTGCATTGCGTTTCTGATGGGTTTTGCATTTTTTTTCCTTTTTTTTTCTTTTTCTTGTTGCTTTGCAGATTTTAAACGTAAACGTGGCAAAAATGCAGCAAAAAGCAATACATACCGTAGATGGATGGATGGATGGAGAGATAGATGGATGGAGAGATCGAAGGAAGGATGGATGGATGGATAGAGAGATGGATGGATGGAAAGATAGATGGAGAGGTAGAAGGAGGGAGAGATAGAGAGATGGATGGAAAGATAGATGGAAGGAGGATGGATGGATGGATAGATGGATGGATGGAGAGATGGATGGATGGAGAGATGGATGGAGAGATGGATGGAGAGATGGATGGAGAGATGGATGGATGGAGAGATGGATGGAGAGATGGATGCATGGAAAGATAGATGGAAGGAAGGATGGATGGAGAGATAGATGGAGAGGTAGATGGAGGGAGAGATAGAGAAATGGATGGATGGAAAGATAGATGGAAGGAAGGATGGATAGATGGATGGATGGATGGATGGATGGATGGATGGATGGATGGATGGAGAGATGGATGGATGGATGGGAGAGATAGATGGAGAGGTAGATGGAGGGAGAGATAGAGAGATGGATGGATGGAAAGATAGATGGAAGGAAGGATGGATGGAGAGATGGATGGATGGATAGATGGATGGATGGATGGATGGAGAGATGGATGGAGAGATGGATGGATAGATTGATGGATGGATGGATGGATGGATGGATGGATGGATGGAGAGATGGATGGATGGAGAGATGGATGGATGGATGGAGAGATGGATGGAAAGATAGATGAAAGGAAGGATGGATGGAGAGATGGAAAGATAGATGGAGGGAGAGAGAGAGATGGATAAATGGAAATATAGATGGATGGAAGGAGGATGGATGGAGAGATGGATGGATGGAGAGATGGATGGATGGAGGGATGGATGGATGGATGGATGGATGGGATGGAGAGATGGATGGATGGATGGATGGATGGATGGATGGATGGAGAGATGGATGGATGGATGGAGGATGGATGGATGGAGAGATGGATGGAGAGATGGATGGATGGAGAGATGATGGAGATGGATGGATGGAGAGATGGATGGATGAGAGATGGAGAGATGGATGGAGAGATGGATGGATGGAGAGATGGATGGAGAGATGGATGGAGAGATGGATGGAGGATGGAGAGGAGATGGATGGATGGATGGATGGATGAGATGGATGGAGAGATGGATGGAGATGGATGGATGGATGGATGGATGGATGGATGGATGGATGGAGATGGATGGATGGATGGATGGATGGATGGAGATGATGGATGGATGGATGGATGGAGAGATGAGATGATGGATGGATGGAGAGATGGATGGATGGATGGATGGATGGATGGATGGATGGATGGATGGATGGATGGAGAGATGGATGGATGGAGAGATGGATGGAGAGATGGAAGGAAGGATGGATGGAGAGATGGATGGATGGATGGATGGATGGATGGATGGATGGGATGGGATGGATGGATGGATGGATGAGAATGGATGGATGGATGGATGGATGGAGAGATGGATGGATGGAGAGATGGATGGATGGATGGATGGATGGATGGATGGAGAGATGGATGATGAATGGATGGATGGATGGATGGAGATGGGATGGATGGATGGAGGATGGATGGAGAGATGGATGGATGGATGGATGGAGAGATGGATGGATGGAGAGATGGATGGAAAGATAGATGGAAGGAACGATGGATGGATAGATAGATAAACAACTAGTTTTTCCTACACTGCCCAGCCTGTCCATGTGTTTCATTCCATGGCACGGCATTGTGAGATCCTGGCATATACTGATCCCCCCCCCATCTGCGGTCAGACTCTGGGATACGGATGTATCTCCCCTTTAAATGTCCAGGTTTCTCCGCCCTCTGACCCTCCCCCGCTCAGTATTCAGTAGTGAGGATACAGAATGGTTACACATTGCAGGTTATCCTCTCTGGTGTCTTCTAACAGACAATTGTTGTGACAGCTCTAAGGTCAGAAAGCAGCTGGGAGGTCACATTGTATTTTCCATGGTTACCGGGAAGGAAAAGCTGTGGAATGTGTCGGTCCGACCTCTCCATTATTTTTATATACTTTTTCACCAATCCACTGAGATTTCCAGGCAAAAAAACATATATTTACTGAAACATTGATGGGTATTTTATACTTTTCCAACTTCTAATTTCCACCTTTACTTTAATATCGCACATCCTTTGCACACCAGATGAAGTTCCATGTCAGGCTGCAATCTCAGTTCAGTAGGTGGGGCCATGACTACACTAAAATTGCACTGAAGACTCAGAAAATGTTGTCTCCCCCATTGTAAAGCCGGATATATCATTTCAAGCAATACATGGGTTTGTAATATGGCTCTGACTCTCCACAAAATGTTTTAGTTTTTTTTTTTAAATCAAAGGGGTGTATTTATGTAAAACAATTGCAGAGTTATTCATCCTGTGGAACTGAATTTACATTTGTTCTGTGGGAAAGTAGGCAAAACTGAACATTAGGCTTTTTCTCGACAGGTTGAATGTTTTTTACTCATACATGAAGCATGAATCCAGAAAATATCACATTATGGCCACTAGATGGAACCAACGATCATAGTAAATAAATACCTATATATTGTGATCGTCTGCTCCATCTAGTGGCCAGAATGCAGTATTTTTATTAACCACCTTGTTCTGTAGGAATGGATAACATTCCTATAGATAACGTCTGGAGAAAAAGATATTTAATCTCCAAACACGGAAAGGTTTCTTCATGGTAAGAGCTGTGAAAATGTGGAATAGACTCCCTCAAGAGTTGGTTCTGGCCAGCTCAGTGGATTTCTTTAAAAAAGTCCTGGATTCTTTCTTGGATACACAGAATATCACTGGATACTAACATTTATAGGTAAAGTTGATCCAGGGAATATCCGATTTCCTCTCGGGGGATCAGGAAGGAATTTTATTGCCTGCAGGAGAAAATTGGATCATGCTTTGCTGGGTTTTTTGGCCTTCCTCCGGATCAACTGTGGGTCTAGGATTATAACTTTTTTTTTTTAATGGTTGAACTGGATGGATTTTTGTCTTTTTTCAGCCAGACTAACTATATAACTACAGTTGCAAGAAAAAGTATGTGAACCCCTTGGGATTACGTGGAGTTTTGCATGAATTGGGCATAAAATGTGCTCTGAACGTCATCTAAGTCACAACAATAGAAGAACACAGTCTGCTGAACATAATACTACACAACACAAACATTAGATGTTGCCATGGTTTAATTGCACATAACATGTAACCATTCACAGTGCAGGGAGGAAAAAGTATGTGAGACCCTAGCTTAATGACTTCTCCCAGAGCTAATTGGAGCCAGGAGTGAGCCAACCTTGACTCCAATCAGTGTGATGATATTGGATGTGTTGCTGACAGCTGTCCTGCCCTTAAAAAACACACACCTGTTTTGGGTTTACTGGTTTCAAGAAGCACTGTCTGATGTGAACCATGCCTTGAAGAAAAGAGCTCTCAGAAGACCTACAATCAAGAATTGTTGACTTGCATGAAGCTGGAAAGGGTTACAAAAGTATTTCCAAAAGCCTTGATGTTCATGTGTCCACGGTAAGACAGACTGTCTACAAATGGAGAAAGTTTTTTATGCCCAATTCATGCAAAACTCCACGTAATCCCAAGGGGTTCACATACTTTTTCTTGCAACTGTATGTAACTATGTAACATTCAACCAGGAGAAAAAATAGCAAAATAACATTCATTTTTGCCCCCATTCACATACAACAAATGTACATGCAGTTTCACAGGACAATAACTCTTCAAAATTTTTAGATATTATTATGACACAGGATTTATATAGCGCCAACAATTTTGCACAGCACTTTACAACATAGGTACACCCCAAAGTGTATTCAAAGTGTATTTGTTTAGATTTAATGTTACTAATCAAGCTTGGTAGCAGCACAATTCAGGCTGAATACAACCTATTTACTATTTGTGGGTGATTCTGTTGGCTCCGACTCTGTTTTCGGGTTTTGGGAAGGATAACGGGCTCCATGTTTCCTCTTACAGGTCAGAGTGACTCAGGGGAAAGAGCCGGCACATTTGCTCAGCTTGTTTAAAGACAAACCGCTAATTATCTACAAAGAAGGCACCTCACGTAAGGGTGGACAGGCACCTCCGAGCGCCGTACGACTCTTCCAGATCCGCAGGAATTTGGCCTTCATCACTCGGATTGTGGAGGTAACAGTGCCTGGGGCTTTCTTACTCTACACAGTATATAGAGTAACATTGAAGGGAATGACCAGCCCAGGGGTGGACTTACAACTCATGGGGCCCCCGGGCAATAGGGGATCATGGGGCCCCTGTGTCCTCGCCACACTCAAACCACACCCAAAAAAGCCTATGAAAGGTACCAGGAACATCTCATGGGGCCCCCTACTGACCCCAGGCCCTCGGGCAGTGCCTGAGTTCCCCAATGGTCAGTCCGCCCCTGGACCAGCCATGGGTAACATTTCAGTTATGAATGGGGTTTGGTAGGTTCTCTTTCTTGTTGTACTCCAATATCACTCCAGCTCTGTGATCTTTCCACTGATGACCCCTTCTCTGCCTTCTGATGAGTAAGACCCTATTGGGACACCATGCAGAAATTGGTGGATGGGAGAATTCAAGGGGATGTCACCAGAGCAGGACCAGATCTAGGGGGGTGGTGCAGGAGGAGGAGGAGCTGCAGAGATCCACAGCTCAGGTGGGAGAATCTGTCCACAGGACAACTATTAGTCGTGCACTCCACAAATCTGACATTTATGGAAGAGTGGGAAGAAGAAAGCCATTGTTGGAAGAAAGCCATAAGAAGTCCCGTTTGCAGTTTGCGAGAAGCCATGTGAGGGACACAACAAACATGTGGAAGAAGGGGCTCTGGTCAGATGAGACCAAAATTGAACTTTTTGGCCTAAAAGCAAAACGCTGTGTGGTGGAAAACTAACACTGGTCATCACCCTGAACACACCATCCCCATTGTGAAACATGGTGGTGGCAGCATCATGTTGTGGGGATGCTTTCCTTCAGCAGGGACAGGGAAGCTGGTCAGAGTTGATGGGAAGATGGATGGAGCCAAATACAGGGACATGGTAGAAGAAAACCTGTTAGAGTCTGCAAAAGACTTCAGACTGGGGCGGAGTTTCACCTTCCAGCAGGACAACGACCCGAAACATCCAGCCAGAGCTACAATGGAATGGTTTAGATCAAAGCATATTCATGTGTTAGAATGGCCCAGTCACAGTCCAGACCGAAATCCAATGGAGAATCTGTGGCAAGACTTGAAGATTGCTGTTCCCAGATGCTCTCCATCCAATCTGACAGAGCTTGATTGATTCTGCAAAGAAGAATGGGCAGAAATGTCCCTCTCTAGATGTGCAAAGCTGGGAGAGACATCCCCAAAAAGACTTGCAGTTGGAATTACAGTCAAAGGGGGTCCTACAAAGTATTGACTCTGGGGGGCTGAATACAAATGCACGCCACACTTTTTAGATATTTATTTATAAACAATTTTGAAAAACATTTATAATTTTTCCTTCCACTTCACAATTGTTTGCCACTTTGTGTTGGTCTATCACATAAAATCTCCCAATAAAATACATTTATGTTTTTGGTTGTAACATGACAAAATGTGGAAAATTTCAAGGGGTATGAATACTTTTTCAAGGCTATCTATCTATCTATCTATCTATCTATCTATCTATCTATCTATCTATCTATCTATCTATCTATCTGTATCTCCCATTCTTCGTATCTGTCTGTTATCTATCTCCTCCATCTATCTTCTGGTCACATATCCTCTTGGAATGTTTTCTGTGCTCCAGTTTCCAGACCCGACTATGAATCTGTTCCTGTGACATTTTGTTTGTAGGTGGAAACAGATGCATCTTTGCTGAATTCCAATGATGTGTTTGTTTTAAAACTGAAGAACAATTCCGGGTATCAGTGGGTGGGAAGGGGAGCCAGCGGAGAAGAAGAGAAAGGGGCAAACTACATAGCCGGAGTCCTGAAATGCAAAGCTACAAGGATTACAGAGGGACAGGAATCAGGTTTGTATGTCTCCATATATCTATATAACAGTTTTCTCCTATCTAAAGGTATCCTATCCACTTTTTATATTATTATTTAGGGGCAAGCAAAGCAGTTTGCCCAAACCAGGATTCTCAGTGAATCAAGACAGTATTGGGAGACTCCCCTTACCCCTTACCAGGGGCGGACTGACAACTCATGGGGCCCCCGGGCAATAGGGGATTATGGGGCCCCTGTGTCCTTGCCCAAACTCAAAAAAATAAGCCTACAAAAGGTACCAGGGGCATTTCATGGGGCCCCCTACTCACACCGGGCCCTCAGGCAGTGCCCGATTTCTCGAATAGTCAGTCCGCCCCTGCCCCTTACTGAGCCCTCAGGACCTGGATCTAACCCAGGATCTCCACGTCATATCACAACCTACAGGGAAAAAAAACTTTAACAAGCTTGCACCAGATATTTAAAGCTGTCCTTTGGGCATCACTCCCCCTCCCACCATCCTTTACCCTGAAACCAACTGCCAGTTAGTCAAAATCTAAGAGTCCAAAATACTCACAAAAAACCATGGTCATGTGAGTCCATTGGCTGTCCAAGAGTGGGGTCATCTTGGGCTCCAAAAATGCCCAGCTTGATGACATCACAATGAGGTGACAGTATGGACACAGACTGAAACAATGATTCAATGGACTCTATACCCGGGAGAGGCAACTACAAGGAACACATGACTTAAGTGAGTTAAAAAGGTGTTGTACGGGGGGGGTTAGTTTGCCCAAAGATGGGCTTTAATGGTGCAAGTCAGCCGGGGTAAATTCTGGCTGGTAGATACTATAACAGGAAAATTCTACAGCACAGCTAAAATAGAAGAGACTTTGCAAAACGAGTACAGACTAAAGTTTGGGGTACACATTCATACAGGGGCGGACTGACCATTTGGAAACTCGGGCACTGCCCGAGGGCACGGGGTCAGTAGGGGGCCCCATGAGGCGTTTTTGAGTTTGGGCAAGGACACAAGGGCCCCATGATCCCCTATTGCCCAGGGGCCCCATGAGTTGTCAGTCCGCCCCTGCATTCATACAAGGCCAACAGTTATTGGAGCATTCTGCTTCCTGCTGGTGCATATTGCCATTTTTTGGGATTGCCTTTTCCTTTGGTAACAACGTAGGAAGTAAGAGAAAGTCTTCCCAACAGAGGAACAGACTGCATTTAAAAAAATTGTAACTCTTTCTCTCTATCCAAAAGTTTCATCTGGAGATCTACTTTAACGTATAACACAACATATTTTATCTTTCTACTTTATTTTTGGCAGATGAGTTCTGGAGTGCTTTGGGAGGTAAAAAGAAATACCAGACATCACCTCTGTTGGGCTCCCAGCTGGAAGATCACCCACCTCGGTTGTTTGGCTGCTCTAATAAGACCGGGAGATTTGTGGTAAGCCCACAGTCCTGAAGTAAATTTTCACAATTAGCTCACATTAATTACTTTTTTTTTTTGGATAGAATGGGAAAAAGTTACAATTTCTGCTAGGTTTTTATTTTGTCTGTGGATTCATTGAGGAGATGTGCCGATACTTCTTGTCCTTGTGACAACTGTATAAGAAATGGAGGTGGAGCCATTGTTTCTGGGACAAGAGGGCCCAAACAGGAATAAAAATGTTGTCAGAAGTTCTAACTAGGTTTGATAACAAAGTGTGGATGGCGTTTGATTTAGTGGTAACTCAGATTTCCAAAAGGTTTCTGAAAGTAATGGGCCAAAGGATTCCACAAGGGCTGCTTCTGCCTGTGTCTGTTCCTTCTGTTGCCTGAGCACCCTTAGCTTTCCTTCCGGTGCCATCAGGTCCCAATATTCTATCTTAGTAGCCCCAGTAACTAATCTCTAAATATGGGTATGTACCATGGTTCAAAAGGTGGAGTTAGCCTTTAAAATCCAACTCTAGGAGACTAAAAGAATATTCCTTGCAGTGGGGCTGCACCCACACTTCAAGGGTTAATTGCTATTTGGGTCTAGGCAGGGGTGTCAAACTCATCGTTGGCCACATCAGCATTATGGTTGTCCTCAATGGGCCGGTTACATCTGTAGGACTATATAAATTTATCCAGGGCTTTTTTTTTTTCCCGGAGAATAAATGTGGGAACTCAACCACGCCCCTATGCCGAACATTGAATGGTGGGAGGATCTTAAAGGGGCAATAAATACTAGGAGTGTGTTAGTGCAGAGTTCAGGGATGCATTATTTACAGATTTCAGAATTCAGGGGTGCACTACGTAGAGAGTGCAGCGCTCAGTGGTGCCCTGTGTACAGAGTGCAGGGTTGAGGAGTGAGCAACATACAAAGTGCAGGGTTGAGGAGTGTGCTACATGAAGAGTGCAGGGTTGAGGCGTGTACTACATGCAGAGTGCAGGGTTGAGGAGTGTGCTACATGCAGAGTACAGGGTTGAGGAGTGTGCTACATGCAGAGTGCAGGGTTGAGGAGTGTCCTACATACAGAGTGCAGGGTTGAGGAGTGTCCTACATACAGAGTGCAGGGTTGAGGAGTGTGCTACATGCAGAGTGCAGGGTTGAGGAGTGTGCTACATGCAGAGTGCAGGGTTGAGGAGTGTGCTACATGCAGAGTGCAGGGTTGAGGAGTGTGCTACATGCAGAGTGCAGGGTTGAGGAGTGTGCTACATGCAGAGTGCAGGGTTGAGGAGTGTGCTACATACAGAGGGCAGGGTTTAGGGGTGTGCAGGGTTCAGCTCTCTTTCACAGGCTGTCCATAGCTCACTTCCATCCCTCCATGGCTTTGACTTCTGCACCACTCTCCCCCATCCCCCACTTCAGCACACATCTCCCCCCCCCCAAAAAAAAAAGCTTCCTTGCATCCCACCTGCGCGACCCGGCTGTAGTAGCTGCTGGCAGTGTAAGATGCTCCCTCTCCCGCTTTCAGGGAGATCATTGGATAGCATCTGTGCACCCGGACACAGATGAGGATCTCAGTACAGCTTACCACGTGATGTCCCATCTCACCTGCGTCTGCATCTCCCTTGTCCCCGCCATGAGTGCAGGGCAGGCAGAAATCTGTGAGAGCCACCCGAGAGGAAAGCTGTCCTTGTAAACACAGAAGGCTTCTATGTTTAGAGGTGACAGTGATGAGCGGGAAGCGGAGGGCGAGAGCCAGAGGTGGCAGAACGGAGTTCTTCCATGTTCTGTCTGGGAAAAAACCTCTGGGTATGAGGGAGAAATGAAATGGCCTGGTGGGACAGATTAGGCCCGTGGGCCTTGTGTTTGACACACATGGTCTAGGGCAGTGGTGGGCAACCTTTTTTTTCAACTGAGCCAAATCTCGCCAAAACCACGATTGAAATTTATTTTGAGAGCCACATTTTTAAAACTGAAAATACATAGGATGGTACACTGTTTTTAGTTTCAATAAGTTTTTATAGTAATTCATCCCCCATATAGTAATTCATCCCCCATAGTAATTCATCCCCCATATAGTAATTCATCCCCCATAGTAATTCATCCCCCATATATAGTAATTCATCCCCCATAGTAATTCATCCCCCATATAGTAATTCATCCCCCATATAGTAATTCATCCCCCATAGTAATTCATCCCCCATATAGTAATTAATCCCCCATAGTAATTCATCCCCCATATAGTAATTCATCCCCCATATAGTAATTCATCCCCCATAGTAATTCATCCCCCATATAGTAATTAATCCCCCATAGTAATTCATCCCCCATATAGTAATTCATCCCCCATATAGTAATTCATCCCTCATATAGTAATTCATCCCCCATAGTAATTCATACCCCATAGTAATTCATACCCCATATAGTAATTCATCTCCCATAGTAATTCATCCCCCATAGTAATTCATCCCCCATATAGTAATTCATCCCCCATATAGTAATTCATCCCCCATAGTAATTCATCCCCCATATAGTAATTCATCCCCCATATAGTAATTCATCCCCCATAGTAATTCATCCCCCCTATAGTAATTCATCCCCCATAGTAATTCATCCCTCATATAGTAGTAGTAAGTAAGTAGCAAGTAGTAAGCCAAGTCCCTCCTGTGTCAATTCACTTACCTTTGCTCCGCGCGTTCCTCTCGCCGTGTTCCCGCGCCGTTCCGGTCTTCAGGGCGGACTGTGAGAGGAGCCTAGCTCCTCTCACGTTCGACATGCTGCCCCGCCTACACACATCCTGACAGCCAATCACTGGCTATCAGGATGTGAGTGGCAGCGAGACTGGCCAATCATTGCATTTGAGCGTGCTGCCCTGGCTGTTTTTTTTTTGGATTACGCTGCAGAGTCCCTGCCGCCAGAGAGGAGGGAGGGGAGCGGGCGCCCGGCACACAAGAGCCGCATTAAAGCGTGTAAAGAGCCGCATGTGGCTCGCGAGCCGCGGCTTGCCGACCACTGGTCTAGGGGAATAAAAAAGAAAATTACTTACTTGATCCTCCACTCCTCTCCAAAACGTGGATCTAGGGTCCTGACCAGGGGCGGACTGACAACTCATGGGGCCCCCGGGCAATAGGGGATCATGGGGCCCCTGTGTCCTTGCCCAAACTCATAACAATCCTATGAAAAAGGTACCAGTGGCATCTCATGGGGCCCCCTACTGACCCCGGGCCCTCGGGCAGTGCCCGAGTTTCCAAATGGTCAGTCTGCCCCTGGTCCTGACATCTTCAAGACCAAAGCAGGGTCCATAGCTCAGCATTAGATGTAAGGACATCGAGGGACAGTCCACTGCCCAAGTGCAGGGGAGCGATATCTACCGAAGGTGTAGAGAATCAGGTAAGTAAATCCGTTCCTCCTCTCCATTAGACAGAATGAGCAATTAACCTTTGCAGTGCAAACACAGCCCTCCTTCAAAGGATAAGTTTACAATTTCCCCGAGCTGGGCTTTAAGCATCTTTAGAATTCCAAAAATGGCATTGAAAAGGTTCTATATCAAAAAATATAACATACATGAAACTAATGAAACTCATAAAAACATATATGCATTCACATATGTTAAAATTTATTATAGTAACACAGACTATCACATTAAAAAATACATATAAAAACACTACTCAATAAAACATAAAGGCCTGTTCAAACCAGTGACCACTGGTGTACAGTAGGATGACAGAGGCACCAATAAGCTGATCACTGTGCATCATGCTGTTTATTTACTTTTAAGCAAGCTTTATTGATATGCCACAAAATGACATTTCACTAAATTCTATTGGCCGCAGGAAGGTGCGAGGCGTTGTCCTGCGCTGGAAAAAGTGCTGCATGCCATACTTTTTTCAACATTGCAATGTGGTGGTTTGAACTGGCCTAATAGGAGACAAGGCATTTATTTGTTTATGGTACTTATATAGCGCCGTCAAATTACGCAGCACTTTACATATATATTGTACATTCACATCAGTCCCTAACCCTCAAGGGGTGTACAATCTAAGGTCCCTAACTTACATTCATACATACACATGCTACGGCCAATTTAGACAGGATCCAATTCACCTACCAACATGCCTTTGGAGTGTGGGAGGAAACTGGAGTACCTGGAGGAAACCCACGCAGGCACAGGGAGAACATGCAAACTCCAGGCAGGAGGTGCCGTGGCTGGGATTCGAACCAACGACCCTATTATGCCAGGCGGAAGTGCTAACCATTTAGCCACTGTGCTGCATTTTGGCTTGTTTTTTTGGTGGAACTGTGCTGGAATATCAGTCCAGCACTGTCCCACCTGGTGTGAACAGACCCTGAATGATGTTTAGCTCCCATCACCAAGGACCTGTGGACAAGGAGTCGAGCACCCAAATACCTCATACTCTTGGATGAGATGAGAGAAACCTGTGGCAAACCATTGGGGTTTTGATGGAGGACCAAAAGGCAAAGAAGAGAAAAAGTACACAATTGTTATTTCAACCACCAGGATGTTTAATATTTACCAAACATATACCCTTACATATACCCTATATACGAGGTGTGACAATTTAATTCCTGAAATGCCCGTGGTATGGCGTGGCCATTCAAACTCAAGCATGTTCTGACATGTTCTAACTGGCACTCACCTGGGCCACAAACCAATTGAATTGGTCTTTATGGAGTAGTAGAAGAAATAACACGTGTGTGCTTTGCACTGTTTGGTGGAAAATGAGTGACAGGAATCTGGAGCAGCGGAATAACATCAAATTTTGCATGAAAACTGGCAAAAGTGCAAATAAAACTTCAGCTCTGTTACAACAGGCTTATAATGAACATTCCATCAAGAAATCAAATGTTTTTGAATGACATAGGCGGTTTAAGGAAGGGCGGGAACACATCCACGATGAAGTGGGCAGCCAAAGAATGGATGCAAATGTGGAAAATGAAAAGGTTACAGGAATCTGCTCAGAGGAAAAAACTGGAACTCTGAGCTGACAAGTGGGTTCTCCACCATGAGAATGCTCCTGCACATGATGCATTAAGTGTGAGTTCCTTGCCCAGAAATCCATTCCGAAACTTGACCAACCACCTTATTCCCCTGACTTAGCACGCTGTGACTATTACTATTAAATGGCTGTTTCGAAAATTTTACTTGAGGTGATTGTAGCCGTATTAGTGCATTTGCGTCAGAAACAATTGAGTACTGTCCGTGATACTTTTTTTATTTGCACTAACAAACAATTTTCAGGACAAGCTTTTGGGAAGTGTCCCCTTCTTCAGGTCAAAGCAGTACCGATCACAAAGGGTTAGAAGACCTGAAGAGACCTGAAGAAGGGGACACTCCCCGAAAGCTTGTCCTTAAAATTGTTTGTTAGTGCAAATAAAAAAAGTATCACGGACAGTACTCAATTGTTTCCTTCGAAAATTTTAAAAATCCTTAGAAAGAACACAGATTGGATGAGATTCCAAACATCCAGTGCACTGCGACAAAGATACTGCACAGCAATCCGGAAAACAAATTCCAGGAATGTTTCTGGCAGTGGCACAGTTGTCTAGGAAAGTGTGTTTCTTCACAAGGGGACTACTCTGACGGTGACAACAGGTGCTATTGTATAGGCAAGCAAACTTTTTATTTTCTACAATCTATTCCGGGTCAGGGGCGGACTGACCATTTGGAAACCCGGGCACTGCCCGAGGGCCCGGGGACAGTAGGGGGCCCCATGAGATGCCCCTGGTACCTTTTTCATAGGCTTTTTTGAGTTTGGGCAAGGACACAGGGGCCCCATGATCCCCTATTGCCCGGGGGCCACATGAGTTGTCAGTCCGCTCCTGTTCCGGGTATTAAATGGTCACACCTTGTATACCTTCCATATCCCATAGGAGATCATCCACACACCGTGCTTTGTTTCCTGTTTCTCCTTTTTGAGATTTCTTGCTCCATGTGCTGGGATCTTGGTATAAGCTCTTTTCAGAACATATGTTGAACAGCATGTGATCTATGATATCCAATACTTTATTGTTTGTGACTACTGTATCAATATGTACTTAGACTCTGTACTTAGAAGCTGTGTGCTTGTTTTAAGTTTAAAAATTAAAGACAAAATTTGTGTCTAAGTTGCGTTGTTCATTCCTAGATTGAAGAAGTACCTGGAGAATTCACGCAGGATGATTTAGCAGAAGATGATGTTATGCTGCTGGACTCATGGGAACAGGTAGAAGAACAAAGTGGTTTTGTGTACAAAACAGATTTGCATTTTAGATTTCCATTTTACATGCAGTCATTTGCATACATAAGCCTTTCATTTCAGTACAAGAGTTTAATATTGTGGATCTGTAAGAATATCAAGTTACATTCTCAATGACACCGTTTACACCCAGCTGCTAAAAATTATATCAATAGAGGACTGGAGAAGAGCACCTGTAGATTATTATTATTGTTCAGTATTTATATAGCGCCAAAAAGTTTGCTCAGCGCTGTACATTATAGTGGGAGACAGTACAGTAGTACAGGAGGAAATGGCTGTGGGGGATGGAGTGGTAGGAGGAGTGGAGGAGATCGGCAGTTAGGTGAGGGCGGGGTAGGCTTCCCTGAAGAGATGGGTTTTCAGGGTGCACCTAAAGGTGAGGAGGGTAGGTGACAGTCTGATGGATTGGGGTAGTGAGTTCCAGAGGATGGGGGAAGCCCTGGAGAAGTCCTGGAGTCGGGCATGGGAGGAGGAGACCAGGGAGCTAGAGAGTGACCAACTATGGGCCAGCCTGTGAGAAGCCTACCATTTGTCCCACCACACCACCAGTGGTGGACACCCATATGGAAGAAAAATATATTTGAAATACACTACAATTTTGGCCATATTCAATATATTTATATATATATACATATACTGCATGTTGAAATGCATTTTTATTACAAAATATGTGAAAAAGATTTAAAAATACATTTCCAATATACGGTATGTCTTTAACCTCTTGCCGCCCGCCTGCTGTTTATAAACGGCAGGGCGGTGGCAGTCCAGGGGCGGGTTGCCGTTCCTAAACGGCCCCCGCCTTTTCTAGCTGTGCGCGCTCCCTGGGAGTGCGCACCACCGCGATCCGGTGCCCGCTGTGTCCTCCGGACACAGTGAAACACCGATCGTCGGACTGGACCTCTGTACGAGGTCCCGATCATGTGATCACTGATTGGCCAATCAGTGATCACATGCACAGTAGTAAGCAAGATGTCACTTGTGACAGCATTGCTTACTACGTGTGAAATCTGTGAATGATCACAGAGGTTACATGGTACAGGGCTATTCACAACAGCCTTGTACCATGTGACAAGCTGTGACCAATCACAGCTCACTCAGTACTTCTCAATGACTGCAAGAATACAGACAGAGAGAAAGAGAAATGATTGCTTTTACATCCTATATGGGTGTAAAAGCAATCAGTGTAAAAAAAAAAAAAAAAATCTTCATCACCCCCCACAAGTAGTACAGTGTCACCATGGTGACACTGTACTGCTAGGGTGACAGTATGTAAAAAAAAAAAAATAAATAAAAAATAATATATATAAAAAAAATAAAATAAAAATGTAAAAAAAAATGTTTAAAAATTATAATTTTTGGTTATAAACTAATTTGAATTTTTTTTTTTTTACTAAAAAAATAACGGAATAAATTTTGGCCAAGATTTAGGATGAAATATTATTTATTTGCAAAATTTTATAAAAAACACCCCACTTTTTTTCAAAATTTTTGGACATTTTCATTTACATAGTAAAAAAAATAAAAATCCCAGCGGTGAATAAATACCACCAAAACAAAGCTTTATCTGTCTCAAAAAAATGGTAAAAAATTCATATGGGTACAGTATTGCATGACCGCGCAATTGTCATTCAAAGTGTGATAGCGCTGAAAGCTGAAAATTGCCCTGGACAGGAAGGGGGTAAAAGTGTCCAGACAGGAAGTGGTTAAAAGTACAAATCGAGATTTTTGGAATGCATTTACAAATATATGTAAAAATATAATGTTAAAATTACTTTTTTTATATGTTAAAAAAAATCTGAAGATTTCTCTGTAAGTTGATGATCAACATACTACCATTAGTAGTATTAAAAAAAAAAATTCCAGTTTATATACTATAGCTTGTGGAGGCTATAACTTTCACACAAACCAATCAATATACACTTATAGGGATTTTTTTTTTTTTACCAAAGCCCTAAGTTTATGAAGAAATTAGATTTTTAAAATTGTTTCATTGGATGTTTTTTATAGCAGAAAGTAAAAAATACTGTCTTTTATCATTTAGATAATAAAAAAAACAGTGGTGGTCAAATACCACCAAATAAAAGCTCTATTTGTGTGAAAACAAAATTATATAAATTTAATTTAGGTACAGCATTGCATGACCGCACAATTACCAGTTAAAGTAGCTCAGTGCTGTATAGCCAAAAATGGCCTGGTCATGAAGGGGGTAAAACCTTTTGGAGCTGAAGAGGTTAAGTAAAAAAATGACTATTTGTCACGCCTCGCCGCATTTAAAGTGCAGCTCTCCTTGAAAAATCAGAATACAGTATAGGTTCTCCGTTAGTCACAATGACTTTTCCCCACGCCGTCCTCAGATGTATTATTGAACGCTCTCAGGTAGTTCCTTACCGTGAATCCATAAAAGATATTATAACGTTTTCTGCAATGTGCGGATACCTGTGCTGTGCTTTCAGCAGCCTTTTCATTCCTGAAAGTAGAAATTATCGCAGGATGAGAATCGATTGTAAGGCACGGACTTAATAACAGTCTTCTCCAAGGTCAGACTCTGCTGATGTGAAATCCCAGAGATGTTCAATGGCGTTTTTTTTTTTTTTTTTTTTCCTTTTTTCAGCTATTTCTGTGGATCGGAAAAGATGCTAATGAAGTGGAGAAGAAAGAGTCCCTGAAATCAGGTGAGGATTTTATACTGTACTGCGGATGTCGTGCTGTCACCAGTGAAGAATATATCTGCTTGAATTTGGGCTAAATGAGAAACAATGAGAAGAAAGATTACAGTGTGACAATGGAAAGGTTCACTGTGTTTTATACAGTTGTGCTCAAAAGTTTGCATACCCCGGCAGAAATTGTGAAATTTTGGCATTGATATAGAAAATATGACTGATCATGCCAAAAAATGCTCTTTTATTGAAGGATGATGATCATATGAAGCCATTTATTATCAAATAGTTGTTTGGCTCCTTTTTAAATCATAATGATAACAGAAATCACCCAAATGGCCCGGATCAAAAGTCCCCCCCCCCCCCCCCCCCCGGAATGTTTGGCCTTGGTACAGACACACAAGGTGACACACACAGGTTACAATGCCAATTAGAGGTTAACCCTTTGAGGACCATAAAATTACGAAACGCCAAAATCAATTTTTTTGTTTTTAAAGTTCGTACACTTGAGTTGCTGTAACTAAGTCATTTCATGAAATAATTGTCAAAAAGCTAGATCCATTTGTTGTTTGTTGATAAGAACTAATATTTTGACTCAAACCCAAAAAAAAAAAAAGAGTTTTAAGTTCTTAATCAGATGATACAGGCAATTAAAAACATGGGACAAATACGTCCCCTGGTCCTCAAAGGGTTAATGTTCCACATCTGTGGCTTTATAAATTGCAATTAGTGTCAGTGTATAAATAGTCAATGAGTTTGTTAGCTCTTACGTGGAAACACTGACTAGGCTAGATACTGAGCCATGGTTTCTAGTTAGTCTCACTGCTTACCTATCATTCTCACTTTCTTTCCAACCTCCTTTAGCCCGGGTTCACATATATGCAGTGTGGTATATCGCATGTGATTCGCACAGGAACCGCACTGCATTCCTGTGCAAATCACATGCGATTTGTGTGCGGTGCGATTGGAGCCATACATTTTGTAAGGCTCTAATCGTACCGCACCCACACCAAAAATGTGCAGGACCCTTTTTTGGGTCCGCACTAGAATCGGATCACATAGGTATTTACACCCATGCAATCCGATTCTGTACATCGCACCGCGTTTTGCGGACCGCTTTCGGGGGGTTGTTAACTTAACATACACACCTGCAGCGGTTCGCATGAATCGGGTGCGATTCTGATACAGTGTGGAATTTGCACAGAAAACTCTGCAAATTCCACACCGCATCAGTGGTTTGCCACAGGTTTCTCTCATCTCATCCAAGAGTATGAGGTATTTGGGTGCTCGACTCCTTGTCCACAGGTCCTTGGTGATGGGAGCTAAGTATCATTTCAGGGTCTGTTCACACCAGGTGGGACAGTGCTGACAGATATTCCAGCACAGTTCCACCAAAAAACAAGACAAAATGCAGCACAGTGGCTAAATGGTTATCATTTCCACCTGGCAGTACTGGGGTCACTGGTTCAAATCCCATCCATGGCACCACCTGCCTGGAGCTTGCATGTTCTCCCTGTGCCTGTGTGGGTTTCCTCTCGGTACTCAGATTTCCTCCCACACTCCAAAGAGATGCTGGTGGGTTAATTGGCTCCTGTCTAAATTGTCCCTAGTATGTGTATGAATGTAAGTTAGGGACCTTAGATTGTACACCCCTTGAGGGTTAGGGACTGAATGTACAATATATATGTAAAGCTCTGTGTAAATTGATGGCGCTATAAAAGTACCTGAAATAAAATAACCAGGGCTAAGAGTTTCCAAAAGATATACCATCTTCCACTTCTGGGAAGCCTGTCTGCAGAAATTTGCTAAAACAAGAGATAAAGGATGAGAGCGCCACGAGTTAATACTTAGATGGCCTAGTGATTGAACATTCGTTGGACGAATGTCACAAGCATTGGCCCAGCCTGCACAAAATTTCAGCTCCATCTAGTGGTTAAAATGTGTCATTTTTTCTGGTTGAGGTATTTGAGAAAACAATACCGCATTTTGGCCACTAGAAGCTGACGATCATAGGAAATATGCGTATTAGAGAAAATATGAGTACAAATTGTGCAGGCTGCAGGGCTTTTTCCCCCAAAAAAATAGGTGCAGGAACTCCGCCCTTCTGAGTCACTTCTTGTCTCCGCCCCCCCTACCCAGCTCTGAGCACTGGCACTTGGTCCCTCTCCCTACCCACCTCCCAGTACCACACCTTTTAGAGAATACAGGAGCAATCATTTTGGGTTGCTAAATAAATTGTATGTAATTTGTTAATGATAACAAGGAAAGCAGTAAAATTCCCCTGCAGCATAGATCCCCTGCAGCATTAGACCCCACCAGCAACAACAGATTCCTCTCGCAACAATGGACCCTCAAAACTCACTTACTTTTGTAGCCAGCGGTGTAGACATTAATGGCGGTGTGGTGAGTTATTTTGGGGGGACAGCAAATTTACATGTTATACAAGCTGTACACTGACTACATCACATTGTAGCAAAGTGTCATTTCTTCAGTGTTGTCACATGAAAAAGATAGAATAGAATATTTACAAAAATGTGAGGGGTGGACTCACTTCTGTGAGATACTGTATGTGTTATAAAAAGTATTACACCCCCCCCCCCCCCCCCCCCCTTAGAAGTTTTCAATACTTTAACAAACAGTTATTTTGCATTTGTTTTATTGAATTCATTTACATCATTTTACTAAAATATTGTACTGATCAGCACTACCTCAGCTTGGCCTGTAGGTGACACTGTTGCAATAGCCTAATGGAGAGCACACTCCTTTGGAGGGAAAAGGGTTCTATTTTCTGTCCCCAGCAGTATAAGGATGCAATGATATTCTGCACACAGCAACCCATAGCAAGCCATCCAATCAGTTTACTCAAGTCAGATTTTGGAATTATTATTATTATTATTATTATTATACAGGATTTATATAGCGCCCACAGTTTGCTCAGCGCTTTACAATATAACAGGGAGACCAGGGGCAGACTGACAACTCATGGGGCCCATGGGCAATAGGGGATCATGGGGCCATGATCTTACATTCATACATACACATACTAGGGCCAATTTAGACAGGTGCCAGTTAACCTCCCAGCATGTCTTTGGAGTGTGGGAGGAAACCAGAGTACCCAGGGGAAACCCACACAGGCACAGGGGAGAACATGCAAACTCCAGGCAGGAGGTGTCGTGGATGGGATTTGAACCAGTGACCCCAGTACTGCCAGGTGGAAATGATAACCATTTAGCCACTGTGCTGCCCATACATGGTTCACACTGATGCAGTGTGGAATTTGCAGCGTTTTCTGTGCAAATTCCGCACTGTATCCGTATCTAGAAATCCGTTCATGCGAAACCGCTGCAGGTGTGTATGTTAAGTTAACAACACCCCAAAAGCGGTCTGCAAAATGCGGTGCGATGTGCAGAATTGGATTGCATGGGTCAGGGGCGGACTGACAACTCATGGGGCCCCCGGGCAATAGGGGATCATGGGGCCCCTGTGTCCTTGCCCAAACTCAAAAAAGCCTATGAAAAAGGTACCAGGGGCATCTCATGGGGCCCCCTACTGAACCCGGGCCCTCAGGCAGTGCCCGAGTTTCCAAATGGTCAGTCCTCCCCTGAGGGAGACAATACAGCAACAATACAGTTCAATACAAGAAGGTTAGGAGGGCCCTGATCCTGGGAGCTTACAATCTAAGAGGGAGGGGCTAGTTGTACAAAAGGTAATAACTGTGGGGGATGGACTGGTAGGAGGAATAGAAGATTCCATTGTTAGCTGAGGGCAGGATAGGCTTCCCTGAAGAGAGAGGTTTTCAGAGATCGCCTAAAAGTGGGCAGAGTAGCGATAGTCTGATAGATTGGGGTAGAGAGTTCCAGAGGATGGGGGAGGCTCTGGAGAAGTCCTGGAGATGAGCACGGGAGGAGAAGACAATGAATCATTCTGATAGGTTGTTGATTGTTCTAACAATTTGCAGTTTCCTCCCTGCTTTATCAAAGAGGCATTATAGCGTCACCCAGGGGCGGACTGACAACTCATGGGGCCCCCGGGCAATAGGGGATCATGGGGCCCCTGTGTCCTTGCCCAAACTCAAAAAAAGCCTATGAAAAATTTACCAGGGGCATCTCATGGGGCCCCCTACTGACCCCAGGCCCTCGGGAAAGTGCCCGAGTTTCCAAAGGGTCAGTCCGCCCCTGACGTCACCTGTCATTTCGTAAACCGGACCAGTTCTAAAAGTCGTTTTTTTTTTTTTGTGTTTACTTTCAGCTAAGCAGTATATTGAGACAGATCCATCCGGGAGAGACAAGGGAATCCCGATAATTACAGTGAAACAAGGACATGAACCCCCAACCTTCACTGGCTGGTTCCTGGCCTGGGACTCTAACAAGTGGCAGCAATGAGGACGTGCTCGGAGCTCTGCAAGCATGGGGGACCTTCTTTTTTTTTTTTATCCTTTTTTTTTAAGTATTTGCTTTAAGCACTAATGCAATTCAAATAAAGACATTACAAGTGGAATATGAGGGGTTAAATCTAAATTAGAAATAAAAAATCCTACTACTTTTTTGGCAGAATATAGAAATAGAAAACATGGGTTACCGCTTTGGTTCCTGTATCCAAGTTGGATGGACTGCACTGTGGGTGCCGGCCCAGTATGAAAAGCCCACCCTAGCTCTGTGTAATCAAACAGGAAAAAGTAAAAGTCCCGAAAGCCGCACTCCAGACAAACCGGGTAGCAGTAGGAGTTGAAGCAGCTTCGGTCAAGCCCGTCAAAGCCACTTCCCTATGTGTTTCACCCTGCCCGCAGGGCTTAGTCATGGATGGGACGAAACGCGTTGGGGCATGGCTTAGAAAGGGCTTGGCTGAAGCTGCTAAAACTAATAGTACTACTGGGTTTGTCTGGAGTATGTCATTCGGGCTTTTTCCTTTTTAGAGAATATAGAAATAGTAAACATGTATACTCGGTTTATTGCCTTTTATGTTCCCTTTTATAGAAAGAAAATTGCCTTATTACTCTGTGTGACTTTGTCTGTTTTACAAGAATGTATTGAAAAGTAATGGCACCTGAACCCAACTGGATATATGAAGGGCATATATATGAAGGGCTTACATACTTGGATGAAAATTAGGAAAATTAGTAAGGAGACGCTTTGGGACGTATTTATAAAAAATAAAATCTATTTGTCTTGTTAAATTGCATTGACTTTTGTTCTGTGCAAATGGAGCCAATATTGAATGTTATTAGGCTATTTTCTCTCCAGGTTGAAAGTTATTAAATCATAAAAAAAATAAAGAGGTTTGGGAAAATACCATATTAAAGCCACTAGATGGAGCTGATGATCATAGTAAATAAGCTCTTCTCTCATCAGCTCCATCTAGTGGCCATAATGCAGTATTTTCCAGGATTCACTCTAGTGTGTATGAATGGAAAATCTTCAACCTAGAGAGAAAATAGCCTGATAACATTCGATTTTTCAACCATTAGCACAGAACGAATGTAATGCAGTTTCACAGGATGAAGAAGAGCTCTGCAACTTTTTTTTTATTTTTGGCTAGGGTAGGGAATGTCTGTATCCCTATCAGCAATAAAAACCTGAAAGAGACTCTAACCCTATTTAGCTTTGAGCTGATGGCTGTGGATTGAAATGGGGAAGTAATTTCATTAATAGCCAATGACAATAGCTTGTGCTGTTATATATGGTATACTAGTGTTCTTTTGTGCTTTTTTTTTTTTTTGACAGATTGTTTCATATGTCTTATTTTTGATTTCCTCTTGAAGTAATGTAAATGCTGCCCTATTGGAAGAAGCGGCACTGCCAAATCTGGTGCTCCTTGGTGCGGCGCTGAAATTGCACTACTTGTAACATTGAAGACATTTTGTTTTTACGCATCTTTATCTTTTGTATCTTTTTAGGTTTTGGGTTGTCTAGGGGGAAGTACAGAAAATACTTTTGCTGATTTTTTTGCATTGTACAAAGAAAATAAAACTCTCAGATAGTCATATGAGAAATAACTGGTGTGTGTTCACTGTGATTGTTCTATCATTGCATGAAATCTACTGAAATCACCAGGCAAAGCGCATTTTCAGGAGGACATCTGAGGTGCCAACCAGAGGACTGTGCTCAGTACAGGATACATTCTAGGGCAGTGGTCTCCAAACTGCGGCCCTTTGCTTGCCTTAATCCGGCCCTTGAGGTGGTATTCCTGTCACTGACACCAGCAATGGGGCATAATTCCTGCCTCTGACACCAACAATGGGGCACTATTCCTTCCACTGACACCATAATGAGGCATAATTCCTGCCACTAACACCATCAATGGGGCACTATTCCTTCCACTGACACCAACAATGGGGCATAATTCCTGCACTGACACCAACAATGGGGCATAATTCCTCCCACTGACACCAACAATGGGACATAATTCCTTCCATTGACACCAATAATGGGGCATATTTCCTGCCACTGACACCAACAATGGGGCACTATTCCTTCCACTGATACCAACAATGAGGCATAATTCCTTCCACTGACACCATCAATGGGGCACTATTACTTCCACTGACACCAACAATGAGGCATAATTCCTGCCACTGACACCAACAATGGGGTACTATTCCTTCCATTGACACCAACAATGGGGCATAATTCCTGCCACTGACACCAACAATGGGGCACTATTCCTGCCACTGACACGAACAATGAGGCATTATTCCTGCCACTGACACTAACAATGGGGCACTATTCGTTCCACTGACACCAAAATGAGGCATAATTCCTGCCACTTACACCAACAATAGGGCACTATTCCTGCCATTGACACCAACAATGAAGCATAATAGCTGCCACTAACACCATCAATGGGGCACTATTCCTTCCACTGACACCAACAATGAAGCACTATTCCTGCCACTGACACCAACAATGGGGCACTATTCCTTCCACTGACACCAATGCTGGGGCACTATTCCTCCCACTGACACCAATGATGGGGCACTATTCCTTCCACTGACACCAATGCTGGGGCACTATTCCTCCCAATGACACCAATGATGGGGCACTATTCCTCCCACTGACACCAACGATGGGACACTATTCCTCCAATTGGTATCAGTTAGTTCTTCCCCTAATACCAAAGATCCGGCATTGTTTACTCCAAGTGGACACAGCCGGCCCCCTAAAGTCTGAAGGACGGTAAACGGGCCCTTCCTTCGGAAAGTTTTCGGAGACCCCTGTGCTCTAGGAGTTTGGGTAAAGTAGATTGAATGTTTAAATGGATGACATTTAGTTTGCTACACCAATGTTTCGAAACCTTTTTTCAGTCATGGAACTCTAAAAATATATAAAATCCCCAGTCTAGAATATAACAAATATTATTGTTGCTTATCACTGGTAACCTGAGTGTGCACACAATCACCTTCATGAAATTAGAGCAGCATGAAACCCAAAAGCAAACCTTTATTATAGTGCAGCTTACCAGTTCTTAGATGTGATGGCTGCATTGGTTTTTCTTTTTTTTCATTTTCATTTTGTGATCTAGCCAGCAAGTCTGTTGTTTTTCAAAAGCTCAAGCTCTCCAACTGAATGTATCAGTTTACAGGGATGAGGCAATCCACTTAACACTGGCAGGGGTGATTACAATGATCAGCTTATATTTATTCATGTAAAACCTTTATCCCAAAAGGAATGTAGTGCCCTTCTAATGAGCTGGGGGGAGCTAGATAGTTTTTTGTTTTATTTTAGAAGCTGAATAGCAGCCTTGGATGAGTCAGCCTGGTCAGGGCTGAGGGTTCTGCAGGTCAGTTCCCAGATATCTCCCCCTGCTCTGGAAACTTGAGAAGTGACTAGAAGACAGTGGGTGGGGGTGAGGGAGAGGAGAGGCTGATTTGCATACCTAAGGGATCTTGGCCAATTCCCAAGCAGGAGGCTTGGCATGGGGTCAGGACAGCCCTTATGTATGAGAGCGCCTGATCAGCGGGGAGTAGAGTTGGGTGGAAGATGGAGTATAGACTGGAGTGTGGAGCCTGGGAGGGGGCCCAGGAGAGAGGCATACCTGCAGGCAGGAGCTAGAAGGGAGAATCTCTCAGCCTCATTCGCCCCCTGAGAGAAGCAGGGAAGGAGCCAGCCCAGTGTAAGGCCTGAAGGAAGCCACCAACATACAAGCCTGCAGAAGAGGACTGAGTCAGTAATCCCACACCCCCGGGCTGGAAGAGGGGGGAGTATAGTCAGTTGACCAACTCAACTAGCTCCTCGTCTGGAGCTGCTCGGCTAAAGTGTCAGTTTCTGGTTCCCCTTCCTCAGGGATTCCCTCAGGCAGCTGGGTGAAGAGGAGAATATATCTGGGGTCTGACTGTTTACTGTCTCCAGACATCTCATACACCCCTCAACCCCATCCAAGCTCAATACCCCTAATAAAACCAAAAAAACAAGCTTCAATGACTGTTTACTGTCGCCAGTGTGCAAGGTCTGAAGAAAATGTGTGTTGCTTGGCTGTGCAGAACTATAGGGGGACCCAAAAACTCAGCGACTCCTAAGGGGGCAGTGCTACAGGAAGAAGAAAACTGAGTAACTGATTATAAAGTGTGAGCGGTAGTTTGGCTTCAATTAGTTACTGTATTTAAATCTGTTAATACACTCCACTACCCCCCCCCCCCCCCCAGACTGACAATGCTGCTGTCTGCTGTGCCCCCTATGCTCCTTCATCCAGAGTCATGTCTCACTAATACAGGAGATGTGTTACTGTCCAGATCACAAGTGAAAACAGAGGGGGAAAAGCCAAAGAAAAGAGAACTAATGCAGCCACCACATCGAATAATTAGTAAGCTGCAATATATTACATTTTTGGTTTTAAGTTTAATACAGCTTTAAATTCACATCAGAAGCATCCCTCACATAATAGCCCGCCCTTTATGACAGAACCCCCACCCCCCCCCCATAGATTAGAAGTCCTGCTATATATGAGAGTCACCTCATCACATTAGAGTCCCCCCTTTACAGACCCCCTAATTACCACCTTGATGAAATTGACATCAGAGTCCCCGCTACACATCAGAGTCCTCCCTTCACATCAGAGACTCCCCAACTCATCACAGTTCTCCCATTCATGCCAGAATCCTCCATCACATCAGAGACCTCCCTACACATCAGAGTTTTCCCATCTTGTCAGAGTGCCCCTGTCACATCAGAGTCTCCCCATTTCATTAGAGACCTCCCTTTACATAAGAGCCCCCCCATACACAAAAGCCCCCATCACATCATTTTCCCCCAATGAAAGAGCTCCCCCATCACAGAGTCCTCTCATCAAATCAGAGGCCCCTTTAATCACACAGTCCCCCCATCACAGTGCCCCCTAATTACACAGTCCCCCCGTCATACAGTGTCCTCCCACACCAGAACCCTACCTT